ATGTATGGTGATTAACATAACATAATAAAATTTAAAAAAAAAGGATATCTGTAGAGAGGCATGCATAACCTAATGGAGTGAGTCTCTAATAGTGCTCTTGAGGCTCTAATTTAATCTCATGAAGGAGATACTTTGCATTGGAGTGGTCTTCGTAGCCTGAACATTACAGTATGCAATATTAAGTATAAACTGCTCTGTGTCTTTTATTTATTTATTTATTTATTTATTTATTTTTTAAAGATTTTATTTGAGAGAGAGAGCACATGAGAGGGAGGAGGGTCAGAGGGAGAAGCAGACTCCCTGCTGAGCAGGGAGCCCGATGCGGGACTTGATACCAGGACTCCAGGATCATGACCTGAGCTGAAGGCAGTCGCTTAACCAACTGAGCCACCCAGGCGCCCTGCTCTGTGTCTTTTAAAGTCAGGGGTTGTGGAGAGAGAAGGAGAAATGAGGCAGATTATTATTTCTCTCTAGTGTTCTTAATCCAGTGATCTCCGCTAACGTTCCTCTTGTTATAATACTAGAATATTTGGTCCAGGTTACTCATCATTTCCTTTCCCTTTATGATTGAACTCTTCATGCCCTATTCTTCCCAGTGGTATTTCAGAGGTTGAATGAACAAAACTTATTTTCACTGTCAGCAGCATATGGACACTTTTTTTTCTCTCATCAGATATAGCTGAATAAAACCTGTAGAGATTTCACTTCTTGATTACTTGTTTCTCTCATGTAAAGAAACCTCAGTTTGAGAGGAAGGATTTACATGCTGGTGTGATGTGAGTTGATCATGAAATTGTAGTTCGTCTGCTTTCCAGGCCTCTCCAGTACCAGCTTTGAATGGAAAATGTTGGTGATTGATTAATGAACTGTCAGGTACAACTGAGTTTTGTGTAGCAGAAGGCCCTGAAGAAAAAAGGAAAATGAAACTTTTTTTGCTCTAAAGTCTTAGAAAAACTATATGGCAAAATATTTGAGATTCCTGGAAATTCCTTTCAGTCTTGTTCCTCAGGCAGCACAATTGGATCTAAATTTTAAGACCACCCCCCTCCCCCCCACCGCCGCCCCGGTACATCACTGGGGGAGAATTTATAAAGGAAGCCAAATGAGTTGATTTTGAATATAGTAAAGGAGCTTGGTTTCACATGTTTTCCAACAGCACTAGGAAATGCCCCCCACCCCCCAAAAAAGGGGAAGAAACAAGGGAGACCAACATGAATGCTTTCTTCTGTACTGTTCTTTTTTTTCTTTCCTTTTTTTTCAAATTTTTATTTAAATTCTAGTTAGTTAACATACAGTGTAATATTGGTTTCTGGAGTAGAATTCAGTGGTTCATCACTTACATACAACACCCAGTGCTCATCGTATCAAGTGCCCTCCTTAATGCCCATCCCCCATCTGGTCCCTCCCCACCCACCTCCCTCCGGCAACCCTCAGTTTGTTCTCTATCGTTAAGAGTCTCTTATGGTTTGTTTCCCTCTCTCTCTCTTTTCCCCCCTCCCATATGTTCCTCTGTTTTGTTTTTAAAATTCCACATATGAGTCAGATCATATGGTATTTGTTTTTCTCTGACTGACTTATTTCACTTAGCACAGTACATTCTAGCTCCATCCATGTCATTGCAAATCACCAGATTTCATTCTTTTTGAGGGTTGAGTAATATAGTCCACTATATATATATATATATATATATATACACACACACACACACACACATCCCACATCTTTATCCATTCAGCAGTCAATGGACACTTGGGCTGTTTCCATAGTTCGGCTAGTGTTTTTTGTTTTTTGGTTTTTTTTAAGATTTATTTTAGAGAGAGAAAAAGTGAATAGGGGGAGGGGCAGAGGGATAGGGAGAGAATCCTCAAGCAGACTCCATGCTGAGCATGGAGCCTGACTCGGGGCTTGATCCCAGGACCCAGAGACCATGACCTGAGCCAAAATCAAGAGTGGGCTGCCCAACTGATTGAGCCACCCAGGTGCCCCTGGCTATTGTTGATAATGCTGCTGTGAACACGTACCCCTTCGAATCTATGTTTTTATATCCTTTGGGCAAATACTTAGTAGTACAATTTCTGGATCATAGGGTAATTCTATTTTTAACTTTTTGAGGAACCTCCATACTTTCCCCAAAGCGGCTGCACCGGTTTGCATTCCCACCAGCAGTGTATGAGGGTCCCCTTTCTCTGCATCCTCACCAACACCTTTTGTTTGTTGTGTTGTTAATTTTAGCCATTCTGACAGGTGTGAGGTGGTATCTCATTGTGGTTTTTGATTTGTATTTCCCCCACGATGAGTGATATTGAGCATATTTTCATGTGTCTGTTGACCACCTGGGTATCTTCTTTGGAAAAATGTCCTCATATCTTCTGCCCATTTCTTAACTGGATTATTTGTTTTTTTGGGTGTTGAGTTTGATAAGTTCTTTATAGATTTTGGTCTTCTGTACTGTTCTGGAAGTACAAAGATAATTTGGTCCTAGAATGGGAGTCTTCTCTCCCTTCTCTCTCTCCATAAATATGTTTATTATTAAACTTTTTATTATAGAACATTTCAAACATATACAAGTAAACAGATTAATATAATGAGCCCCTATATACCTATCACCCAGCTTCAGTAATTAATGTATTTATTTTCAATTATGAAAGTAATAATTATATTACATCAAATTGGGGGAGGGGAGGAGAAAATTACCAATCCCTTTGTCCGGAATCTCTGTTGACATTTTGATGTGTTTCTTTCCTTAAAGTCATGGTATAGTATTATTTTGATTGGGCTGCTTGTTCACATAGTCCATATTGTAACATTCCATGTGGTCTTTTTAATTGTCACTTTTAAATGATTGGGTTGCTCTGAATTTTTTTTTTTTATTAACTATTAAATAATGGTTCAGTGATTTTTTTTTTCTGTGTTTTGCATTATTTCCATTGGCTAGTTCCTAGAAAGAAGTAGGATTATTGAATCAAGGGATGTGAGATTTTTAGGCCTTTTGCCATGTGTCAGTGATCTGCCTTTTATAAGTGGGGGGGAACCACTGCCCACGCTCTTGGCCGTGGGCAAGAATGCCGGCCCCCCTCTTGACAGTATTTATTTCACCAGTTGTTATGGGTCTTTTGATAACACGGAGCTGATGGCTATCAAGATAGTGGTTTTTTTTTCTGCTGATGTTTAGACTCTTCTAAATCAGACATTAATTCTTCCTATACTGCATTTCATTCTCTAGGTGTTTTCGTGCCGACTAGGGAATGAGCACGATACAGCTCTTTCAATTGTTGATCCAGTTCAAATTCAAGTGGAGCTGGTGGGGAATTCTTCTTACCAGAATAGTTCAGGATTGATGGATGCATTCAATAGTGAAGATTTCCCACCGATCTTAGAGGTAATGATGAAAAATCTATAGACACATCGATACACTCTCAAACACTGCCTGTGCCTGAACGTGACATACTTGCTCTGCTGAACTCAGTATTTTCATCACTTCGGCAAATACAAAAGAAATATGACATTGTCTCTGTCCTAGAAAATCTTTCAGTCCTGTGGAGAATAAAAGACCCATTCACTGTCTGGTATCATCTTGAAGTTCTGTGAAAGTTGACAGAAAGCAGAACGCAGCAGAGGGAGGAATCTGGATTGTGGGTGGAAGCAAAGGTAGGGCGAGTCTGAGCAGAGGGACAGGATGTCAGTAGGCAGAGGAGGGTAGCAGCCCACATTAGGAAGAGGTTAAGTCAGGGGCGAAGGGGCCCAGCCGACACGAAGCAGAGGGAGGTCTCACCAGGACAAAGACGTGCATGTGGGAGCACAGAGGATGCAAGGTGAAGCTGGGGAAGGAAGGCAAAAGGACGTGGCGTTTTATTCCTTGGCTGAGGACGAACAATTAATCCATTGGAACCATGGTTTTTTAATCTTTAAAGACGGAATAAGTAGTCAACCAAGTAGCACCCCGAGACATTCCAGCAGTTACCCCAGTTTTAGGTGGTCCTGTGCTGGTGTCTGTATTGCTTACTGCCGGCCTCTGTGTTGTTCATGTCGGAGGGAGGCTGGATATGGGGAAATATTAGTGTGGCACTGGACTCATTTAAGGTGATGTTTGGAGAGAGAAGAGGTAACTTTTTGTTGAGTGGTCAGTTGGGTTCAGAGTTTTAAAAAAAAAATTAAATTGATCAAAGCAAAATGGGTTCACAGAATGCTGCTAATAGGTGATCCAGAGCCATTTTCTGATTCTCTTATTTGATGATTAATCTCCTTGTAAGGAAATCATCTGACTGAAATATTCATTGCTGTAGTAAATTTCCCAGCTTTTTATTTTTTATTTGGTGCAGTTTTGTAAACATTCGACCTCGTAGCAGAGATGTCTTACCTCATGGTCCTTGGTGCTTACTTTCAAGATCTTTCCAGTCTTCAGAATGAAAAATTAATATAGTGTCTGTGGGACTTCTAGAACTTGAGTTGGGAACTATACATACACGTGAGAGGTGTGGGCGTAAAAGCAAATGCAACTTGAAAAAACTGCCACCTTTTCAATTTTGTTAGATTCAGTTACAAGCCCTGGATATCAGACTCTCCTACAATGATGTTCAGCTGTTTCTTGCCATTGCAAAATCCATCCCAGAGCAAGCTAACGCTGCAGCGCCGGACCCAGTGGCCTTGGAGACCAGCTCCATTAGCAGTTACCTTTCCGGCACGTCTCGGGCTGGAGAGGAGATCAGAGAAGGGACAAGACATACCCTAGATCCTGTCTTGGGTAGGTGTTGAACTGTGAAACCCATTCAGTCTGCCTAATAGCTCCCCTTCTGGTTAACTGTTAAGATTGTCTTTTGCACAATTAAATTGTTCAGAGTATAAGTGTATGCCATTAAGTGTAATTATAAGTATGATGCTGTAATTTAAAAATTTTAAGAACAAATACAACACCCCAAACCGACTGCTCTAGCTTACACTAGTTTTTCTTTTACCATTTCTTCCAGAGTTCTGTGGATAATGCTAAGGTTTAGTTTTAAACATGGAGTTTCCCTCCATTGTTATGTGGATAATACTAAATTTCAGTTTTAAGCTTTTACAAACACAGTCACTATAGGGAAAAGACTCTTAAAAATTTCAGGGTGAACTTTGGTTAAGTCTCCAGGCCGGAGCCCATTTTTGCCTAGAGAAATGGAATGTTTTAGCTATACAAGCTTCTGAATTTCTTTTTTTTTTTTCCCTTTAATTAGTCAGTGGACTCATTTACGTAAAATTATTTATAAAAATTATGTACTTTTTTTTCTAGAGTTACAGCTGGCTAGACTGCAGGAGCTTGGATTCAGCATGGATGATTGTCGCAAAGCCCTTTTGGTGTGCCAAGGTAATTCGCACAAGGGTTTCCATACCTGTTGTTCATCTTGATTATATGCTTGCTTCCCGTTTCCCCCACTGGTCCCACAAGGGGACTTAGAGAGCCGGACTGTATTTTGAAGCCCCTCTGTGGTTTTCTGTGGGCTGACCATGATCTTGGACTGGGCATAATGAGGAGCAGCAGTATTTCATAGTGGATAAGAACATGGGCTCTGGAGCCGATGCTTCCGGTCTTTACTGTGCTGCTTTTTGATTACTTATTAGTGACTTAGGCAAGTCACTTAGCCTCTCTGTACCAGTGCTTCCTTATCTGGAAAAAGGAGAAGAGGACTTCCCTTGGAGGTTTGATATAAATAGGCACTGTCTACAAAGCACTTCGGGAAAGTGCCTGGCACATGGCAGGTGCTCTGATGCTGTTAGCCATTGTTGCCGGTGGTCATGGTAATGGTGGTGATCTGGTAGGCATGACCGCTGAGCTCCCGTGTGCCTCATCCTGTGTTTTCTTATGGAATCTTCATAGCCCTTCGAGGTGGGCATTATTATCCCTGCTTCAGGTCAGGTAGGGAAACTGGCTCAGATAGGTTAAGTAAACTGGTCTGCGGTCCACCTGTTAGTGAGGGGCTAAGATGGACTGAAAGCCAAGTCTGCCTGTGTTCTTTCTACCACCACCTTCCTCTGTGTTGCCCTTTTTCTTAAAACAGGGAGATAAAGCGAAAGCTGTATTTTTTTCTAGTCTGTACTTATGTGTACATTTCTCTACTTCTTTACTTTCTATATATATCCATATGTATATATGTACATATATACGTATAATATCGTGTATGTTGGCAGAGTGTACTGCAAATACGATTGTATAGCCTCTTTTATAATACAGTTTTCTTGAATTACAATTGCAAATTTATTACAGTATACTAATATCATCTTCCCATGTCATTAAAATTATTTATAAATACTGAATTTTTTTACATTGACCTAATGATACATTTTAACTATTCTTTGTTTTTCATTCTTTAAATATACACAGTTCTGTAATAAATATTTTTTGGTATGAACTTCTGTCTGGCTTTTTTAGTATTTCCTTGGTGGAGAGACCTAGTAGTATAAATACTGGATCAAAGGGTGTAGATACATTTTTCAGGCTTTTTACTCAACTTGACAAATCTTTGTCTAAAATGTACCAGGCTGAACTCTAACCAATTAGGTGTGAAAATGCTAGTCTTGCCACACGATTATTCACATTAACTATTCCTTTTTCCTTCTGGAAAAAAAATGAAAGCGGATCTAGTTATCTTGCATTCCTTAGCTTTGTTTTTACCTAGACGTCACTGTGTGTTAGTTTAATTAACTTAGTGTTTACATTTTCTATTCTTTTCTCTCTTTCTTTAACATAACATTTCTTTTTAATTTCCAAGAGTGTTTTCGATTTTTGTTAACTTTTATTTCTTTAGTAGCTAAGGTGTCATTCCATCAGTCACAAAAATGATAACAGCAACTAATATCAGTAGAGTCTTTGATACGTGCCAGGCTCTGCTCGTAGGAGAACTTTCCATGTACTCGTCTGTTTCCTCCTTGCAGCAGCCCTGTGAGTGCGTGTTGTTGGGCACAGACACCAAGTAGCTTGCCCAAGATTCAGCATCCTCTAGGTGCTGGAATCAGAAGCCAGGCCATCTTCTTCTAGAGCGCGTGCCCTTAACCACTTATCCCTGTGCCGTGTACTGGCCTCTAGTAATTTATAGATATGGGGTTGCATTGATTTCCTTTCCTTTATAGCTTTAGCAATCTGGTAGTGTTCAGGGGGCTGTTATTTTAACAGTTGTATATTACGCACATGCCCTTCTCATCGCTCTTTGTTCTTGAGGAATGCCTGATTGGTTGAGAAGACATGGTGTGTACAGAGTAAGACATTTGAGAACAGTCACAAAGTCGCACATCAGTACACGCAAGACTGCATACTTCCCTACCGAGTGACATCTAGAATTTGGACCCTGTCTCTTCCTCTCCTCTCTTCTCCTCCGACAGATGTCTTAGTAGAGGAGGGATGGCTCCTGGAGGCATTTTGAACCAGATCACGAAGGGTGGTGAACTTGAGTGGAAGGTGTGCAAGGGGGCTTCGTTCTGTTTGCCTAGAAGTAGAATTCCTGTCATTATGCTAGTTTTTTCCTTCTTTTTTAAGTCTAAGAGTAAGTACATCTGGGAGCAGGGTTCTCTTGGGCTGTCCAGTAGGTTCCTAAAAACGTTTCCTCTATGAGCTGCTTGAGTAGCTGTGCAAACTGGCTGAACTGATCACCTTTAAATTTTCTTGAAGGCCAACTGAAAAAGGCAGCAAGTTGGTTGTTTAAGAATGCCGAACCTCTGAAGTCTCTTTCCCTGGCTTCAAGTGGCCGCGAGAGCCAGGGGCCCGTGGTGGCGCGGCTAATCTCTGGAGTGGAGGTGAAAGCCGAGAGCGTGTGCATCTGCTTCATCGACGACTGCATGGACTGTGACGTCCCTCTGGCTGAGCTCACCTTTTCCCGTGAGTGTTTTCCTGATGTTCAGATTCGTCTTGAAGATTTACAGTGATAGCTGAGTTATTTGGGGCCCGTCTTGTATGTGTGTTTGTGTGTGTGTGTGTGTGTGAGATATTCATGCTCCCCACTTAGCAGTATGGGTGAAATTTAGATAATGGTTTTACATCTGTTTTTCATTATTTGTATTTTAAAGAAATGTGTATTTATTTGCCATATGTGGCCTTCAGCCTCTAGTTTGGGAATAATAGACATTGTCATTGATGAAATTTCTGTTATATTAACAGCTCTACCTAAATAATTCCTGATGTCTCCGTTTTGTTTATTTTTTTATGTATCTAAAGACTACAGGGAGTGCTGTTATTAGAGGCATTTAAAAGATAAACTCAGAAAATGCTCTGCCCTATGTATGTCTGAAAAGAAAGCACACAGAGTCTTACTAGAACGTTCACCTCACAGTGTCCTCCTAGGGCCCTGAGAGCTGTCCTTCAGTAGCAGGGGACGAGGGGACGAGAACCTCCTCCTCAACCGTGTCATCTCAGGCAGTGTCAGATGGGGCTTCTGTGGAGAGTATGTGAAAATCTCACCACTGGGTTTACATTCAATTTTCCACTGTTTGACCTTGCCAGCCTCTTTTTCCTTCAAGGAAGATTCTGTCCCGGGGATTGAGGTGGGCCTCTGTGCACAAGAGAGGCTTCCTTTTCCGTGTGCTTCAAGGCCCCACAAGGGCCACGTGGTGGAGAGTAACAGCTGGAATTTTGACTGTCTTCTGTGGGGAATAATTACTTCTTATTTTTCTATAGTAATCTTAAAATTTTGAGCTCATATTTGTTTTTTATGTTCCTGCAGACTTGAGATACACAGAGACACGTGGGTGCCGGGGCTGGGCTGGGACGGGAAGGAGGCAGAGGAGGCCTTTGCCTCAGGCACGCCAGTGAAAGGGGTGCCAAGAAACTCAGGAATTAAGACAAATAACATTTTAACACAGTGTTTTTAAAAAAATCAGAATTCGTGCAGAAAGCCCATGATGAACAAAATATCAAGATTTTGCATGTGCTTTCCTATGAGGTCATCAGTATCAGCTATGTTTCACGTCCGTCTCTTCACTGAGACTTAATCCAAGAAAGAACGTTCTGGTTGTTCTTGCCCCGCCGCTGCTGTAAGGTGTGCTTTCTTTGCAGGTCTGACTTTTCTGCAGCAAGCAAGAGCTAGCCCTGAAGGGTACGCCCACTTCACCCTCTCCGGAGATTATTACAACCGCGCTCTGTCAGGTCAGTACCTAAGCGTATGTGATTATGGGGTTTAAAAACCACACTTCAGTATTTGCCTGGGCCTCTTTCTACATAAATTTTGCATGAGGGAAAGGGGGTGGGTGGGGCTGAGCAGGGAAAGGTGAAACACAAGTGACTGCCTAGGCACAAAAGACACAGATTTTTCTTTTCTCTAACATATCTGATATGTTGCGACTGAGTTATTTAAAAAGAAGTTTTCCTAGTTAATTCTTTTTGATGCTGGAGGTTGGCTCATTCTAGAACATGGAATTGCTCAGGAGCAAAGGATCGTTTGTCTGGCCCTGATAGAAGCTAGATTTCAAGGGAGATTTCTGACCATAAGCATTTTACACGTCAAGCATCCTTCCTCCTCGCTGGACCTGTTTCATTAGAAGCATCCTGAGCCAGTGATAATGTATAATCTGCCATACCCTACTCCCTCAAGCAAAACATTGTTGATCAGAGCAGGTGATTCTTCTGGAGACATAGAACCTGGATAACACTGCAAAGCTTTTTCAGGTTTCTTTCCATCTGCTGGGAGGATCAAGGTAAGGGCCCATACATATGGACATTCAGGCGGTGTGGTAAACTAGGGCTGAGCAGTTTGAGTGTGAAGTTCTCTGCCTTAAGAGAGTTCTTAGTAGGTGTGGACGAAGTAGAGTGGCACAACCCAAGGCTTAGGCCTCAGAGCGACCGCTCTCTGATTTCACTGGAGAACGAAGCGTCATTAATTGTGCTGCTGCCGCCGATGGTTCTAGAGTACGTGTCGCATTTACTTCTGTATGTTAGTTAGCATTTTCCTCTCCGTGTTCTGGATTCACTTTCTAAGAGTGGTAGCACTCTGATTTCCTAACCGTTCAGCATGTTTAACTTTAGAATACTGATCCAAGTCTTACTAGTTGAGAGAGACTCTTACAGGGCATATGGAAGCCATTTTTCTGAGAATCATATATTTTCCCAGAGCAAATCTTGCTTAGTTTTAAAGTTGTGTGAACACATTCAGGTCACTAAGTGCCAAATGGTGCGAGGAGACAAATGTACTTACTTGATGCTACATATTGGATTGGATTTCTGTTGGTCAATCACCTGATCTGTGGCTGATGGAGTCTAGTTAGAAAACTGTTAAAAATTAACTGTCTTGAAAAGTGGAGTCTTTAAAAACACAGGGAGGTACCATTTTTCTCATCCAGCAGACTGGCAAAAATTAAGTGTGACCCTGCTGTGAGCCACAGAACTCTAACTTCTAGCCATTAGAATTGGAAGTTGGTGCAACCACTTTGGAAAACAATCTGACGTGTAGCAAGGTTGACTATAAGCATTACACTCCTTCTAGGTCATACCCCAGAGGCTCTCTGGCCCACGTGTGCTCGGAAACAAGTACGAGACTGTGGTGGTGTTCCTCCTCATAGCTATAAAGCTGTGGCCTCAAGGGAATATTTCGCAGAAGTAGAATGAATACATAGATTGTGGTGTATCCATAAGTGGATTATAATTCACTGGAAAATAAGTGTGCCGCAGCTACGTGGCAGTGATGTGAGTGAATCTCAGAGGCACGCTGTTGGGCAAAATTAGAAACTTGCAGAAGAACGCGTATGGCTGGATTCCATTTATGTAAAGATCCCCAGTAGGACAAACTCACCAGCATGTTCTGAAGAAATGCATGTGTGTGGTAAAACTATAAAGAAGAGCAAGGAAATGATTAAAGCTGCAAACTAATGTTTACTTGGGGTTGGGTGGGAGAGGGTTGGTGGGAAGGGGGCCTGACACGGGAGAGTGGCACTCAGAGGCTTCAAAGGGACTTTTAATTTTCTGTTTCTTAAGCTGAATAGTGGCTGCATGAGTGCTTATAGTAATTTTATTCTTTAAATCACACGTAGACGTTATTTCCATACCTTTTGTACATATGACATTTTAAGATTAGGAATTTGAAAAACTTAAGCTGATGAATATCCAATTATGCTGTACCTGTTTCTTCAATCGGTGGATTCTTGATGTTGGCAGGAGAATCAGATTTAAGGGTTACTTCAGCCCCCGGTAGTACTTTTGCATCCTGAGTCCGAGACTCCTTTTTCTACCTTGAGGGGATCAAAAGCAGATCCTGCCTGCTCTTTAAGAGAGAGGGCACATATACTCTGTGCCCTTCTTCCTCCCTCCTCTGGAAGACCATGTGGGGCACGTGTCTGTCCTTCCACTCACATCCTCTAGACAGCACAGACATCTGTAGGGTGACCTGTAGCTGAAGATGGTGCTTTCACTGTGAAATCACATTGGAAATAGAAAGCTGTTAAGCTGTAGTTTGTCCTTGCTGAGCATTTGTGAACAGTGTTCCCCTATAAACTCTTGATATCTGCATAACAGATGTCTTATTTCCTGTGTTCTCTTAGGCTGGGAGCCATTTATTGAGCCATGGCCATGCTCTGTATCTTGGCAACAGCAGGCAGCTAGTCGTCTCCATCCTCCTCGACTGAAGCTGGAAGCCAAGGCCAAACCCCGTTTGGATATCAACATCACCTCTGTGCTAATTGGTGAGTGGAAAGTTGTCTCTAGAAGATCAGTACCTTTCTGTACATAAGTTCCTTGTCTAGAAGACTGTTAATCCTGGTTTAGCAAATACCTGGGCCCACACTGGACATCACTTACTCACCGAGGCTGCTTTCCTGATAAACCCTAGCCGGGCCTCATGGTTCTTTTCAGCCCATTGCTGCAGAGTTGGCACCCTTGTTAATGCTATCAGTGATCAAGCAAGAGCTCAGACTATTTGGGAAACATAACTCTCTCTCTGTTTGGGATGAACTCTCTCCCTGATGATGCGTGGTCACAGGTTTTTCTTAAATGTCCTAGGAGTGAGTTTAGATTCACTTCTTTCGGGCTACTCACACACAGAATAATTCTTAAAAGGTATAGTTTTTTTTTTAAAGATTTTATTTATTTATTTGAGAGAGAGAGAATGAGAGAGAGCACATGAGAGCGGGGAGGGCCAGAGGGAGAAGCAGGCTCCCCGCCGAGCAGGGAGCCCGATGCGGGACTCGATCCCGGGACTCCAGGATCATGACCTGAGCCGAAGGCAGTCGCTTAACCAACTGAGCCACCCAGGCGCCCCCTTAAAAGGTATAGTTTTGACATTGTCTTTACAGTAGGATAAGTGGCCTGTACTGTGTCCCATCAAGTTATCATGTTGACCTGACTCTGAAAATCACTGGGTTGAAGGGTTGCCAAGCTAACGATGCATGTTCTGAACGTTTCTTTGAAAACCTTGAAATGTATGTTCCCGACTCGATTTGGTGAGTCGGAACCACCCTATGCTTGTATTTATGTCATCTAAGAGAAGAGTAATGTTATCATGCAATCAGGTGTTGCCTACCTTTGCTATCAAAACCCACACTCACTGTTTGAATTATTGATCTACATGATCTGATTTTTGATAATACTGTAGTTATCTGAGTGATAACACTACTGTTGCACATCTGTGAACTTTCTTCAGTGCGTGTGATCGAGGCTCGTAGGATATCCATTGGCTTATTCCATGTCAGAATGAGATGAAGAGAATGTATAGTGAAATGAGACCATAAGTTCATTGATCCCCAAATTATAAAACCACCATTTTACATTATCAGATTTCATTCAGGAAATTTGCCCAGATAATTGATCTGATGATCCTTCTGTACTGTATTATTTTGATCCTGTGTCATTTCTTCTATAAGGTGTTCATCTGGAAGTTTAGATAAAGTTTAGGGTGGTGTTTTAGAAAGCTACAATAAAAAAGAACTTACTTCCAACAAAAGAATTTTATTGATATTTCTGATGAGCATCTGTCTATTTAAAAATGGCTTCCAAAAGGCATTCTTGTCTCTGGTAAAGCTGTTGTTTTTTTCACCTCCAATTCCTTATTCCTAATACTGTGCTGAAACCCAGAAATGTTACTGTGACCTCTTAGTATTTAAGTAAATCTTATATATAGCCAACTATTGGAAATGAAAACCAGAAACCAATAATTTCTGTTCTAAAAAATATCATACCTTAATTAGTAGAAAAGGTCTTTATCCAGGGGTGGTGCATCATAATTATTTTGTTAACCTGCCCTTCCCGTTATATTTCTCCTCTCAAAACTGTAAAATCACTCCTGGAGAATTGTCCGCTAGATTTCAGCTTCCTGAGATTGGTGTTTTTTTGTTTGTTTGTTTGTTTTTTAAACAGCTTCCTCACTGGTTTTTCTGTCTCGAAACCCTGTCCCTTAGCATGACATAGCGTACGCTTCACAAACTATTTCTCTTTTCTAGACTGCTTTGCTATGTCCCTACCCTAGTATGTTGGGCCAGAGTCACGCCAAGGTATTCAGTGTTTTCTAAAAGGACTGTGTACTTTCATGTCTTTAAAATCTTTGTAGGGGCGCCTGGGTGGCTCAGTCGTTAAGCAACTGCCTTCGGCTCAGGTCCTGATCCCAGGGTCCTGGGATCGAGCCCCGCGTCGGGCTCCCTGCTCAGAGGGAAGCCTGCTTCTCCCTCTCCCACTCCCCCTGCTTGTGTTCCCTCTCTCGCTGTGTCTCTCTCTCTGTCAAATAAATAAAATCTTCAAAATAAAATAAAATCTTTGTATATGCTGTTCTCTTGGCCTGGGGTGTCTCCACACCCTTAATCCCATTGGTAGGTAAACTCCTGATCTCTGACCTGTGTTCGTTCCTCACGACCCAGAACAAAGGTCCCCACACCTCTGAAGATTCCTGTGGATCTTGGTGTGTACTCTGCCACTTCTGCCAGAGCAGAGTGAATCTTCCCCTGTTCTGTGCTCCTGTAAAATTTTATTGATGTCCTTGTTTTAGCTCCTTCCGCATTATGGTTCTGTGGTGATGGTTGCTTGGCTAACATTGATTTCTTCCAGTGGAGCCTGAGTTCTCCAGTGGACAGACTTTCTGAGAACCTAGCAGAGCGCCTAGCACGCAGTTAGCATTCAGCAAAAGCTAGTTTTGCTGAATAGAAATTATTTGACTTGAACCCTCAACCTTTTCTATTTCCATACTTAATATCTTTGGGGAATTCTTTCTAGACCAGTATGTAAGTACCAAGGAATCGTGGATGGCAGATTACTGTAAGCAGGAAAAGGAGATAGATTCAACCACATCAGAAGACTGGATGGGCTCTTCAGTGGATCCTCCATGCTTTGGACAAAGTAAGATTTTTCTCTACACATGTCTGAGTAAATCACTGTTGACCAACACAGTCATGTTTCATTGAGAAATCCAAATAGAATCATCATTTTCTGTGAAAAAACCTACAGGAAATTCTGACTGTCTTCTATAGTTCTGTTTTAATCTTTGCAGGAGACATTTTTCTGGCACAAAATACTGAATTTTTAATATGGGCTCCAATTCCACCTTTGTGGGAGAGAAAAGATGTGCAATATACAGTCTTCTAAATTCTGGTAACATTGCATATGAGCTGTGCGCCTGAAACACATCAAGATCAGCCACTGGTCAGTGTGTTTAACTTGGCAAAGCTTTCCAGTTGATTTGGACTTTTGGACTGGATTTTAAAAGCTATCCTTTCGGTTTTCCAAATCTAGAGGTGCAGAGTTTGGATATATTCTTGAGGGGAGGGCAGGCAGGATCCCACATGGAAGAAATTGTTAAAAGGAGGGCTCCGTATTGTTCATAAAGTAGGAAAGAATTGAATACCCAGCCTTTTGAAGAATAAGCAGTCCGTTTGTTCTCTGTTAACGATGTTTTCTTTCCTTATTTAATGCCTCACCATGGAGCTCTGATTTCCTTAGAGCTGGGGAGACTGGGGCGGCCAACCGTGTAGTCCTTAGTTGTTCCATAAGCCATTGTCCTCCAAATTCAACTCAGCCCCAACTCTTTCAGTGTGGTTTCTTTGGGGAGTCCTGGCTGGACTTCACATAGCTCATGAATGCCTAAATATTCCATCTGGTCTGCAAACATGTCACGGGAAGATGGATTTTCTTAGTTTGTGAAGTATTTGAACGGGTTCGTCTCTCCTCAGGGTGTAGAAGTGGACTCTATCTGCTGTGTACTTCTGGAAGGAGGGACAAGGAAATGTCAGCTATATTTGCTCTCTGTATTCCCCAGTTGTTGCTTCTGAGTCTTAAGGTCATTGCTTAGGAGCCAGGGCTGTTCAGATATCATCAGCTTCAAGTCTGGCTCCTGTAACCTTCCCAAGTTGTGTGTAAAAAGAATGTAACAGTCTACCCAGAAGACTCTAAATAATCTTTGTAATATGTAATGTGTCCTAGAGAGTATGTTTTGGAAATTATTATTCATACAAGGGGATCTTAAATCCAGATGCAGTGTAAACATGAGGAAGGCCTAATTTCAGGAATCCAATGAAGGATTTTCTTTTGTCTCTACCCCTCCACCTTTTTTAAAAAAAAACACTTTCTCCTCTTTCTTTGTAGTTAATAAGCTGCCTTCTCTGTGTTAAATGCCGTTGTGAAATTAAAGCTGGATTTTTATTTACTGACAGATTTTTATGGTTACTTAGGCTTGCAAAAGTAAATCTTTTTAATTAGACAATACGTGAGTATACCTGAATTTCCAAACCTTTTTTCCTACTGGACGTTCCTGGGCGGTACCACGTGTAGCAGATGGGATTGTATTCTTTTAACAGGTCTACTAAATTAATTGTGGGGAATTTGTCTTGAAAGTCTGTAGACTTGAACCTTGTTGAACAGATCACATCTTTCAGGTCCTCCTATTCATGAACATTTAGTTACACCTCCCCACCCCCCCACCCCCAAATTTGTACATTTCATTCAGGCCAGCTTCAAAATGAGCCCTTGAAATAGAGATCCTTAAAATGAAATTCAGCCTAAGGGAGCTGCTGATTTCTCACTATTTCTTTAGCAGGGGAAAGAAAACAGTGGCCTCGTTTTTTACATCATTGTTGGCTTTGTTCAGTAAGGGCTGCGTTTCTGCAGGTCGACCCGCATAGCATGGCCCCTTATGCAGTTTGTTAGTTTGGTATTCAAAGGACATTTGATGGAGATATCAAATGTAAACGTTCTAAAACCTTCCATGTTTAATTTATAGTATAAGTAATACTATGCCGTAACTCCTTGGTGGAGACTGTTTACACTTGGAATGCAGACTGACTCTTTCCCTTGAAATTTCGGGACCCCGGGGGATTAGCACGCCCCCGGCACTGCCTTTTCCGAGTCGGAACAGAGCAGCTGCCACCCGGTCTCGGTAACTTTTCCACGCCGTTGAAGAGCATACACACTTCAAGTGAAAAAGCCTCACAAGACTTGTCATTCCGTTAAAGAGAATGTTGACAGTGTTTTCTTTCCCCCGTTGAGAAAAACAGGAGCACGCTGCTGTGACACATCCTCCACAGTAAAAGCTAGCATAAAAATGTCCCGCTCGCTTTGTCATGTACTTTCTTAGCTCTTAGCAGTCACTGACGGGAATGATCCTGGAACTGCATGGTGCTTGCTATTTTTGTAATGTACTCTCGTTGTGCTTATGTTTTGGAGGTGAGTCTTCTTATTCACTATATTTATTCTTACCCTCTAACTTTGTCTCTCCTGTCTACCAGGCCTCCCCCTTGTCTACCTTAGAACTAGGAGTACAGCCAGTCTGACTAACCTAGAGCACCAGATCTATGCTAGAGGTACAGTATAGCCAAGCGAGGGCTTGTTTTATTTTCCTGTTTGAAGAACTGCCTTGTACATCAATTTTCTGTGAATGGGAGCTGAATGGGATACCCCAGGTTTGAGTACTAAGAGCACTTCCAGCTGATGAATATGACGCCTTATATCAGGAGCGGGCGATGTGCCGTGTCTTCCGTCCACCCTCACCCTCGGAGGGTATGGAGCCAGCTCCACAGTGTATGGGGCAGAAATACCAAGCATTGGAGGGTTTCTCATTTTGAAAAGCGAGGAAATGGAGCAGAGCATTCTCCGTCAGGCAGTGCTACAGGTCTTTGTTTATAGAATCCTCAGTGAACACTTATTCTTATGGCAATGCAAGGGGCTCTGTGGAGTAGACGTTATCATGATCAGGAATCAAGTGAAGAAAAAATTTACCAGTAAATATTTGCTTAGACACAAACCTTGATTTCTTCAGCTATAAATTGAAGTGCTTCAGAGACAGAAAATAAAATGTGCCCTATTTCTGTCTCTGACCCTTGAAGTAAATATGATAGGAAACACCGTAAACCTCCATGAATGGGAATCCCACGATGTTCATTCCTTTAGTTGTTTGAAGGAGTGTGATTTAATCGGCATGTGTCTGTACTTGGCTAACACCAGGTCCTGCCAGGGTCATGATATATTTTGTAAAAAAGACCTTTTGAGCTTCCTCTACCAGGGATTCAGACTAGGGGTGTTCACGCATGGGGGCAGTACAGGGGTTTTTCCTGCAAGGTTTTACCGAGATGGATGTGTAGGGGAGGGTTCACAAAGGAAGCCCATGATTGAATCTTCATGTATTAACGGATTTAGGCGCTCAGCTTTTCTACGTCTGTTATTTCATCTTTCGGGCTAAGCAGCCTGGGTGCCTTAGCTGATGAGGGAGACAAAGTAATTTGCCTTCATGCACATGACCAGCTGGTAGCAGGCCTGGGACTTTGATCTATTTCTTATGATTTACAAACCAGGTCCTTTCTGATGGGACTGGATGCTTCTATAGCATGAAAACTTAAACTGTTTATAAGGGCCACATTGCTCTGTGCAACAAGTCCAGCAGGCTAAAAATTTCCTCAGCCACGTGAAGCCTGAGTTGCACGTGAGGAGTCTTAGGTTCTCTAAGCCTATGACAGAGTGAAGTCTGGTCACTCGAGGCAGATTTTCTGGGGCCACCAGGGAATACTGCTCTCTTGGATGGACTTGGGAATGTGGTTCTCTGGTGCTGTGCCGAAGACAAGTGCACAGTTGATTGGGACCCTAGTGCAGGAGATGTCGGCTTTATCCCTGGTGTCGGGTTTGGATTTGTGAGCACTCCCATGTTATTTATTCTCAGCGAAGTGGGCTGCTGAAGTCTGTGCTGGTGTGTGTAATCAGCACAGGAAGCTTGGGGACCAAAGCTGTGTGCCTACCCTGACTGCTTCATTCCAGAGCCACATGCTTGTGACTGTCTTTATATGGGTTCCTAGCACTTTCTTCTGTATTACGGTGTGATCAAAGCCATTTGCCACCTGTTCTTTTTTAAATCTAATTTGCAAATGGAAACTTACAGTCTGGCTCACAGTGGGATATGAAAGCACATCTGGCTCCTTTCCCTCCTGGGTCCTTTATCTGCTGTAGTAAAGCAGCTCTCTCCTGCACTCCTGGAGAGGGAGGTGCCTTTTAAGGTGGCACAGTAAGTGCTGTTTAGCCAGCAGACAGCTCTTAAATCTTTTACTCCCCCTCTGCTCTTGTCACCAGCCTCACAGCTACTCCTTAATTTTGTACTTGATGTCATGTTTGTTTTTTTTTAAAGCCAACCTTGGGAACTAAGTGAGGCCATTGGCATGAGAAATGGGTGTATTCTCGGTGGTTATCTAGGAGTTATTCTAGGAGATTATTGTCGGAAGTATGTGGGGTGTTTCTAAAGACTAATCACAGAATTGTCGGGACACACTGCAGACTATTTGTTTATTTATCGGATTACTATTTCTCAGACTCCATTCAGCCACTATCCTTATCAAAACAGAACTTGCCTTAGCTTATTTTTTTTTTAAAGATTTTATTTATTTGTTTATTTGACAGAGAGAGAGACACAGCAAGAGAGGGAACCACAAGCAGGGGGAGTGGGAGAGGGAGAAGCAGGCTTCCTGCCGAGCAGGGAGCCTGATGTGAGGCTCGATCCCAGGACTCTGGGATCATGACCTGAGCCGAAGGCAGTTGCTTAACGACTGAGCCACCCAGGCGCCCCTTTGCAGCGTTTTATAGTACAAACTTCTGAAAACTTTAGAAGACACAAAGGAGAAGAAAAAAAAGTGATTACTTTGTAAAAGGCAGTAGCGATTACTGACTTTATCACCCTGGCCCAGGCCTTATTCTAGCTGTGGGAGAAGGCAGGGTTTGCTGCTTGTTTTGCTGGAACCTTGTGGACCTGTAAGGGACATTGAATTTTGCTCTAGTGTTCTCAGTGGGCAGGTGCGGTCACCTCGAGATGGCATTTTCCACAGCCACAGACCATGTGCGTCCCGGTCTTTCTCAGGCTGTCTTTGTGCTTTAAAGCTGGGCACGCAGGAAGAGTGGGCCATGCCCTCTTCTGTCGGTAGAGTCCATGCGGCGTGAGCCACGTATTGTCTGATTTGTTTCCAGGGCTGCGCTGTCCCACAGTGGGAGTCCAAGGCTGCTGCCTTGGTGGTTCCTGCCGCCACCTCCCGCTTTGTCTCAGTACCACCACGACCCACTGACCAGGAGAGGAGGTGCAGGCCCTTGCTAAGAGGAGCTGAGCCTCTCCCCTCGGCATGCCCATGCTGGTCCAGGCCAGACCACACGGCAGGGCAGTGGTGCCCGCAGAAGGATCTCAGGGCAGCCTGGGCACTGGAAAGCCGTTTCTGGCCACATGGACTCTCACTTCTCTCTGGTTACAGTCAGGTCTCTGGAATATGGGTACTTACACTTTTGGATTGATCAGTGTTTCTTTCCAGTTTCCCTGCTTAGAAGCTATTTTGTGAAAAGAAACCATACTTTATGCTCCTTTTGTAGTCTCCTCAGTGCCTACCTAATAGCAGACGGTGGTGGTATCGATGTAAAAAAATGAGCTAAAAATTCCATTTAAAAAGTTTTGGGATAGTATATTTCTGATCTTCCAGGGAGGGGGAAAAAGCTATTAGTTGAAAAGAATGTTTTTTGTTTTTTGTTAAAAGATGCGTAGTATGACTGAAGTGTAGCCCTTATAGAAAGGGAATCTTCTTGGACAAAGTTGGAATAAGTATGTGCGCTGTATCTTGCTACGGTTTGGGTCACTCACTGAGAATATATTCCTTGGGACTCGTGGGGTTCCATTTCTCTGTCTTGATTCCAGCCCGGTTAGGGCCTGCTGCCTTCTCCTGAGTTAAGGCCCATGAGAGTCGTGGGAGGATTGGGGTCTGGGAGTTGTCCCCCATCACAGCCAGTTGTTGGGGGGACCGTCACCACACAGCAGGCAGCAGAGGACACAGAGATCCCATGTGTCCCATCGACACACCAGTGGTGGCTCCATGTCTGTGGCCTCCACCGTCCACCCCTTTGCATGAGAGACAGGGGCACTGCTTGCAGGTCTGGGGAGGGTCTCTGCTTCCCAGGCAGAGGCCTGTGCTAACAGCCTTCCTATCTTTGCCCGTAGCAGAGGTGAAGACCCCCAAGCGCCGGCAGCCGTTTGTCCCTTTTGCTCTGAGGAACCACACAGGCTGCACTTTGTGGTTTGCCACCCTGACCACCACGCCCACCAGGTAAGGCCCACAGAGTGTGCCCCCCTGAGCCGTTTCTGCCACCAAAGGCTCTGCAGGACCAGCCCAGCAGTGCAAGGTGGGCCCCTTCTGGAAGCTCTTAGGATTGTATTTGAATCGATAACTTGCTGACTTGCTGAGATTTATGACGGAGTTGGAAACTGTAGCCGGAGAAGCAGGTCCCGAGTCTGAAATATCCAAATTATGACCCCGGCCCTGGTACACACCATGTTTAAGGTAAAAGTCAAGCAAATTAAGGATGTGAGTAGGAAGTGGGAAGGAAAAGCCATCTCGTCTTTTCTCCTCAGGCCCCCCCCCCTTTTAAAAGAAGCTGAATGTGGTTATTAAACCAAATATCTTGCATTTTTCTTCCAAGACGGCTTTGAAAACACCTCCCATATTCCCCTCCCATTTCCCCAAACAGAAAACAGTTCACCCCAGATGGAAATGGGTGGAGCTTGGAGAACAAAAGAGAATTTACCTGGGCCTAGTGAGGATGTTCTCTACCAGCTTCCTGCCCATGTAGACCTTGGCTCTCCCCTCCAAATACATGCTGATCTTTCCCTTTAGGGAACGAGGTGCATGAAGTAAATAACAGAATTGGCCAATTCGAAGCCACCTTTCTCCTGCCATCACTAAGTATGGTAATGCTCCTGAGGAGATGTTTGTTTTTCAAAAGTGGTTTAGGTCTGTTACATTCCAGATAGTCACTTAAAAACTACTTTTGAAACTCATGACTGAGTTTACATGTCCCGCTATGTACTGGACTCTTGCTGGAGGTACATGGTAGTGCGGTGATCACTTTCAGCTCTTTCTAAAGGTTCACCAATGCTGCGATTGTCACAAAGATCGTGGCAGTTCCTGACCTTTTAGGTCATCCAGGGAGCCAGGCTCTCTGGGCTGCTTCTGTGGATCAAGCTCCAGGAGGGTTTCTGCCCCCAGCCCCGAGCTCTGGGTGAGAGGGAATTGAGAGAGAAAGACAGACAAGCTGGTATTGTCTGATTTGTTTCCAGGGCTGCGCTGTCCCACAGTGGGAGTCCAGGGCTCGTTCCAGAAGGCAATGGCACATTTCTTGATGATGCTCACAATGTTAGTGAATGGCGGGAAGTCCTCACCGGGGAAGAGATTCCCTTTGAATTTGAAGCAAGAGGAAAGCTTAGACACAGGTAAAGTGTGGTTCATTCTTTTCCTCTCCCCAAAATATACTGTATCGATCTGTATGTTACAAAAGATTGTCCCTAGTTTTTTGCCTTTTCACTTACCTTTATTAATGATTTTAATGTTTCATTTTTTTAAAAGGTATTTTGAAAACCAATGTTTCCTTTTGCTATTTTGGAAATACACTTATTTCCATTAATTATCCCTTTAATTGACATGAGAGGTGATGGGGCCAGTGTGTTGCCCATAATTTGGTTGAGGCATAGGCAGGTGACAACACTCAAGTTCATTGTCTCCTCTCCGAGCCTGGTTTTCACGATGCAGTGGTGACGGGGTTTTTTGTGTGTTTTTACCTTTTTTTTAAATTGTAGTATGGTTGACACATAAGATTACATTAGTTTCAGGTGTACAACATAGCGATTCGAGCACATTATCCTGTGCTCGCCACAAGTGTGACTTGTGACTACCATCTGTCACCGTGTGGCATTATTAAAATGCCACCACCTGTATTCCCTGGGCTGTACCTTTTCTCCTCGTGACTTGTTCATCCCATAACTGGAATGACATGCTATTCTTAAAAGGTTATCAAAGCATGTTGATTTCGGTTTTAAGATATGTGTGTGCCACATAGCTCTTTGAGCAAGCAGGTGGTTTCAGGAAGCAGGGCCAGCAATGATAAGAAATTCCGATTCTAAGGAGGATAGCACTGACTCATCGAGGGAGACCGCTAGCCCGTGCACTGTTGAAACAGCCAGCCAGCGGTTTGGAAAAAACATGAAAGAAGGTTCTGTCTGGCTACTGAGAGGTCATAAAATGTCCTTTTATTTGCAAACATGTTTAAGGGGAAGGGCTCTCCAGTGGATAGTGAATAGGTTAAGATTTTAGCATTTGAGCCTCAATCCATTGTCAAGCCGAGCTGAAATTGAAGACCCCGGCTTCGGCCTTCTGTGCTCTTACGCCTTCATGGAGCTTGAAGTCTTTGTGTGCAAACGTGCTCCCGAGTGAAACCGTTCTTCCTTGTGCACAGCCCATACCAGCACACATTATTCTCTCAGGGCCGGGTTCCGCTCTTGTACCCCACCCCTCCCCGCCCCCATGACTGCACAGGAAAGATCGAGTTTATAAAATCACCGTGCCGGACACATGTACCTGGAAGCCACGGTAGAATTTCCAGGGACGAGTGGTGGGCGTGTTCCTGTTCCACAGAGTTCCTGGAGAAGCTAATTATAGAACTGCTGGCTGTATTTCTTCATCAGCTCTGCCTCCGTTGTGTCAGAAAGGGTTTGACCTCTTTGTCATTTCCGTTCTGGCGTACATGTCTGGTAACCCATTTCAAGTCCCACTGTTCTGCTTGAATTCATCAAAATAAATACCTTCTCTGGCTTTTCCCTCTTTGGCACACTGTACCCCACCTCCCTGCCTCCCTCCCCCCTTCCTGTCAGCTTCAAATCCAGTTCCCCATTTCAGGCTTCTGGCTTGAATTAGGCAAAATCTAAAATAGAATTAAATGTGCAATTTCCTCCTGTTCCTCCTGTTCTGCCCACTGCCTTCTGCTCCAATTTCAGCCAAGCCCTTCAGCCCTGAAACTCTGAGCGGTCCGTCTCTCATAACCTGTCTGTAGTCTTGTAGGACCAAAGCCAAACAATGAAATGTGGTTCTGAAAGAAGTAGGATATTCAACAGGGGAACCAAGAACAAAATGTCATTTTATGCATTTCCGAGAGTATGGTTTTATGATGAAATTGCTGGTACAGCAGTTTTACTAGCCCACTGGAATAGCTCTAGCTGACGTCATGATTTTATAGAGGGGGAGGTGGGGGTGGGGATGGGGGAAGGACCTGGGCTTGTGCACAGGATTTGCAAAGTTTGTGCAAAGGGAGGGTAAATGCCACTCTTGCTCAGGCTTTACAGATCTCGCACGTTTGTTTTAAGTATAACACCCAGTTAAAATATTCTCCTGATTTTTCTTGCATTAGGTAATCACCAAAAGGCTTAGCCAACTGGGTTTTTATGTCGTTATGTAGCAAATCAGATTTGACTCTTTGCTTCTACTTTCCTTCCCTTTTTAAGATCGTGCTTAATGTCCTTTCCCATGTTCTGCCTCATAGACACACCCACGACCTCCGGATTCATCAGCTGCAAGTGAGAGTAAATGGCTGGGAGCAAGTGAGCCCCGTGTCCGTGGACAAAGTTGGGACATTTTTCCGCTATGCGGCACCGGATAAGAATTCATCTTCCTCTACGGTGTGTGGCTGTCGAATGGGGGTTTAGTGGCACGATCGTGCCCCTTATGTCAGATAGTCAGACGCTTAAGCCTGTAACCTCTCTCTAGTGAAATTTTCTTGTTCCTCATTTCCCCTAGCTCTAAGAAGACATAAGATTATTTGGCGTCAGTCATAGACATTCGTAGTCGATATGTAGATAAGCCACCAATGGTTAATTTCAGTAGAAAAACAAGATCCAGGGCGCCTGGGTGGCTCAGTTGGTTGGGCGACTGCCTTCGGCTCAGGTCATGATCCTGGAGTCCCGGGATCGAGTCCCACGTCGGGCTCCCTGCTCATCAGGGAGTCTGCCTCTCTCTCTGACCCTCCCCCCTCTCATGCTCTCTCTCTCTATCTCATTCTCTCTCTCAAATAAATAAATAAAATCTTTAAAAAAAAGAAAAACAAGATCCAAAGTTAGTGTGAACACATACTACCTCACCTGTGTAGACCCATTTCATACTCAGTTGGCCCAACTGGAAGTTTATTAATCTGCCAAACGTGTATTGGCTCTGTTTCCACATATTGTTATGCTTTCTTTTTATAGATAGGATCTTCTTTACATTTCTTGTAATGCTGTTCCTTGATCCTTCTATCTCTGTGTCTCCAAATTCTCATTTCTGGTATAAAGACCGACGTCTACTGTTACTCATTTTCTGATCACACATCCTTTCACACACCCTTGCCCTAACGTTACCCTAGCCTGCAGTGTTAGGTGTTGGGGGGCAGCCGGGGGAGTGATGCAGGCGGCCTCCCTGTCGGGAACCTGCAGGTGGGGGGCATCCTGGCTGGTGTAGCTGCCGTGGGTGCTCTTGCTCAGCACTCAGTCATACTTTGTAGGATGACTACATTCCTTTCTGGGGAGCCAGTGATGAGTAGGAAAGTGCAGATTTGCAAAGACATCGTAGCTTTCCTTTTGCTCCCTTTATTCATAAAAAATACTCTTGGAGAACACTGTTCCTTCCACTTCTTCTCTTGTGCCCCAAGGAAATTTTGTCATGGAAGGACTAATTCCCCCAGAGATACCTTTCTATTGTGTTGATGTGTCCTGGAGAAATTCTGTGTATGTGGAATGGTTGAAAAATAAGTATTACTTTTCCCATATCCTCTAAGATAAGATGTTTTCTCTTCATGGTAGACCATACTTTTCTAAGATTATTTATAAATCCCACCCTTTCAAGCAAATTACATTGTCATTGAATTTAATGAGGTCTGTAATCTTAGGTCTGTGCTGACTCTCTGCCTTCTGGACTCTTTCTTAGATTGGCAGCCCCAGCAGTAGAACGAATATTATTCATCCCCAGGTTTATGTGAGTATGGTTTTCCTGTGTCACTGCATTTACTGAGTATATACACTGCGTTTGAACTGTACATAGACATCCTGGTGATCACAGGACTGTATGACCTGAATGTGATTGGAATCAATCTTTGTCCTTTCCTATTAACGATTACCTTCCTTTTATAAGAACTTTCAAGGAAATGTTTTCACTAACTTGGTATGTTAGACTGAGTGTTACAGGGGAGGAGGAGAAAATGCAAATGTTGTGGTCTAAGGCTCCTTTCTCCTCTTCCCTTTTTCTTTTTTTAAGAGAGAGAGCGAGCACGTGCATGTGTGTTGGGGGGGGCAGTGGAGTGGAGAGGGAGAGAGAGAATCTTAAGCAGGTTCCATGCCCAGTGCAGAGCCTGACTCAGGGCTTGATCTCACCATCCTGAGATCAAGACCAGAGCCAAAACCAAGAGTTGGATGCTTAACCGAATGAGCCACTGAGGTACCTCCCCTTCTCTAAGTTAAAATATAAATTAACCGTGTATGGCTGGCTATTTGCATTTCCTAGGTTTTGGTTCCAAGGTCGTAAAAGTAAATAAGAATGAAAAATAGTGTAAGATTTTTTTTTTTCCATTTGGCTTTTGAAACATAATCAGAAGATGATATTAGAAAACTGTCCTCAGGTTTTTTCTTATAATTTCTTCTCTCTGATGGTAGTAAGTTCTGAAATGTGAGATTTTAGGTAAGCTTGGAGGCAGCAGCATCGAAATTTAAAACCATCGTTCTTGGGCCTTGGCTCTGTCAGGCTTTACCAGGCTAGGTCATTGGGAGCCTTGGTGATGTTTGTGCCCTGGATTATATCCCTCTAAAAACCCTCCAGAAAATGACAGTTTGTCTTTTCCTTGGGACTTCCTGGAAGTCTTGGTTCAAAACATGGAATTCTTCATTTTATTGTGCATTAGGTTGGTTTCCATGTACTGTTTGTTTTAATAAAAAAGTTGGTAGTATGAGAAGCTTGGATGTGGTGTCGTTTGTTTCTCCAATAAAAATAGCATTGTCAGTATGTTCTGGACACTCATTCAAGGAAGGATAGTTGCAGAAACCTTCTCTTTGGTGTACCTGATAGGGGGTTCGATACCTTAAAAAAAAAAAAAATTCCCTGGCACTTGGTAGTAGAATGAAACGTGTGTTGAATGTGTGAATGAACATGTGGAAACAGAAAGTAGTGGCCGCAACCCAAGACCAAAAATAAACTATTTCCCTCCACTCTGTTGAGTTTTGGAGCCTTGGTGTCCTGTTTGTAAAAGAGCGATTACTGAACAGAGCTGAAAACGTTGTGGAGAAAGAGAAGTTTGATTTTAAAGTCCTTTGAAAAACAAATGTTGCTTTTTCTACAGGCATGTCAGTGAGTCACGTATGGGCCTAGAGAGTAATTTTTATGACATTTAGGGGGGAAAAGTAATTATTGTTCCTGTGAAAGGCATACCAGTACAGACAACTCTTTCTTACACACTCTGGATTTTACCAAGACAAGTTCTAACCTCAGAAGACTTCCTTCTGTTTTTCTGTGTGTGTTGGGCAGTGTCCAGCCCATTGTTAGTGTTCAAAGAGTGTTTCTCACTTTAATGGTAATCTGGCAGAAAAATACCACAGAAGGTAAATCATTTCATGTTTTGCAAAGTCTTACTCCAGTGTTTCTGAACGTTTAGTTGCTTTGGATGATCTCTATTCCCCTCCAGTAGAGTTGAAAACAAGCCTTGTTCATAGTTTCCATATAAGGGCTGATGTGTAGGAACCCAAGGGCATTGTGAATGAAGGGTAATTTCCACCAGACAGTTTCTTATCAAATTGCAGGAAGTTTGGAAGATTTAATAGGTTATTATGGGTCTTAGTTTCTTTATAATGTGTCTAGAGGCCTAGGACTGATTTTTCTTTGTGACACATTTTGTGATACCACGTCTGAGTAGAGTATCTGTCTTTCTAGAAATGTTTAGAATTGGCTGTTTTAACAGTGTGTATCTATAGGATATTCACTCCTGTTAAAGATGAGTGATTTTAGGGCTTAATGACTAATTTCACTGAAGGGTTATAGTAATAATAAGATGCTTTTGATTTAGGTCTTCTGGTTGGTATTGTTGTATTTTGTGTGTTTTTTCAAGAGCCCAGCTATGATACTTTTATTCCTGTCTTTTTCACAGTTCTCTTCGCTCCCACCTGTCCGGGTGGTCTTTGCCGTGACGATGGAAGGCAGCGCTAGGAAAGTAATCACTGTCCGGTCTGCCCTCATTGTGAAGAACAGGCTTGAGACACCAATGGAGCTAAGACTGGATAGCCCATCAGCTCCAGACAGTGAGTTTTGCCGTAGTCTGTCTTCCTTTTATCTTGAGAGGGTCAGACTTTTGGGTGGAAGACCATGCCCTGACGATGCTGACCCTTTTTTCTGTGGCAGAGCCTGTGGTGCTTCCCGCTATCATGCCAGGGGATTCGTTCGCTGTGCCTTTACATCTCACTTCTTGGCGGCTACAGGCCCGGCCCAAAGGATTGGGTGTATTTTTCTGTAAGGCTCCTATTCACTGGACCAATGTAGTGAAGACTGCAGAGGTTAGCAGCAGCAAACGAGAGTGCCACTCTATGGACTTGGACAAAAGCCGATTCTTCAGGTATGCACAGCGCTGCAATGGCATGTAAATTTTGCTTTTTTTAAAAAAAATTCATTCTCTCTCTAAGGACTCTTAGTGATTCACTCGTGCTTGTTTAAAATGCAGAAGTTCTTATTCCTTAGGTTCTTGTGTTAGAGTTTATAAGGATTCGAGGGTTAATCTTTGGTGGGGGTGGGACTGTTGCTTATCATCTGATATTTATGGGAAAAACAACCAACAAACACACTACTCACACATATAAGTTAAGGAACTGGTGTGTGTGCATCAGCATAAAAAGAGGATATGTAGAGAGGGAAGAAAATAATATTACCAGTTCCTATTCCTAAATTGAGAAGCAGAATCTTGGGGTTGGACGTTCTTCAAATGACAGATTTCAAGAGAATTTATAGGAAGGCTCATGCACCTAGTACTGACTTTCCTTGGCGACCTTAACAAAATTATCTAATCATTTAGACTCCTGTTTTCCCCTTCTGAAGAGTATAAGTAATACATTTCTAGATTCCGTGTTGGAAAAAATACTGGGTTGGTATTGTTCAATCCTTCTAAACTTAGACTTTAAACTTACTTAGACTAGAGACTATCAGCTTTAGTTTTCTCTCTAGTGAAGACAGGCATTCATTTAGTTTAAACTTACAGAAGAGGTGCAAGAATAGTGTAAAGAATTCCAGTATGCCCTTTACCCAGATTGGCCAATGGTAAACAGACTGAAGAGAGAAATGAATAAATACACAGCTATAGTGGACTGCTTTAACACTTTCCTGTCAGTAATTTAAAAACAAACAATAAAGATATAAAAGGATTTGAACAGGGCTGTCCATCAGTGCTTGTCATAATTGGCATTTATAAAACACTTTAACAAACAACTCCAGATTGTACACTCACTTCAGGTATGTGTGGAATAGTCATCAAGAGAGACCATCTACTGGGCCATAAGACAAAGATCAATAAATATTAAAGAATTAAAACGATACACAGTAAATCTCATCATCACAGTAGGATTAAACTGGGAATCGGTAACAATAAGATGCCTGTAAAATCCCTAAATATTTGGAAATTATACATTTGTAAATAACCCAAGGGTCAAAAAAAAAAAGAAATCACAAAAGAAATTAAAAATATTTTAGGGCGCCTGAGTGGCCCAGTCGTTAAGCATCTGCCTTCAGCTCAGGTCATGATCTCAGGGTCCTGGGATTAAGTCCCGCATCGGGCTCCCTGCTCAGCAGGGAGCCTGCTTCTCCCTCTCCTTCTACCTGCCGCTCCGCCTGGTTGTGCTCCCCGCCTCAATAAATAAATAAATAAATAAATAAATAAAATCTTAAAAAAAAATTTTGAACTGAACAGTAATAACAACTAGACATTAAAATGTGGGGGGGAAGCAGCAAAAGCATAGTTCTAGAGAGAAATATAGGTTGTTTTGGGTTTTTTTTTTTTTTTGAGAAATGTGTAGATTTTTAATGCTGTTTTTAGAAAATAATGAAGATGTAAAGTCAATGATCTGAGCTTCTGCCTTGAGGTAGAAGAAGAAGAGCACATTAAACACAAACACATAGAAAAAGGACCTGATAAAAGTAAGTGTGGAAATCAGTGAAATAGAAAACAATAGAGAAAATCAACAGTGTCAAGTTGGCTTTATGCAAAGATTAATAAATTCGATAAATGTCTAATAAGACTGATCAAGGAGAAAAAAAAGAAAACACAGATTACCAATATAAGGAATGAAAAGAGGAAACATTATTACAGATCCTACAGACATTAAAAGGAGATTTCTTTGAACAATTTTATACAAATAAATTCCACCCTGGAATGAATGACAAATTTCTTAAAAAACACAGATTACCAAAACTGACACAAAAAAGAAATAGAAAATCCAAATAGCCCAATATCTCTTAAATATAATTTTTAATAAAAAGCCTTCCCAGAATGAAGACTCTAGGCCCATTTGGCTCCACTAGTGAGTTCTCCCAGACATTTTAGGAAGAAATAGCACCAGTTCTGTGTAAAGTCTTTCAGAAAGCGGGGCTGGAGGGAACAGTTCCTCATTCATTTTATGAGGCCAGCATATACTTGATACCAAAACTGACATGGATATTATTGGGAACAAAAGAGAAAGAGTGAGAGAACTACAAACTAGTATTTCCCCAAGAGATAAAAAAAAAATTCTTAACAAAATATTACCAAATAGAAATCTAGCAGGTGAGGTTTATTCCAGGAATGTAAGATTATATTAACATTTGAAAATTGATAAATGTAATTTACCATATTAACCTAAAAGACTAAAAGGAAAAAAACCATCAGATTATCTCATTAAATGCCAAACAAACAAAAAAGCATTTGATAGAATTCAGCACCCATTCACTGTAATATTTGGCAAATGAGGAACCAAAGGGAATTTTTCCAGTCTGTTTAAGGGCATCTGTCATAAACCTACAGCTACCATCATGCTTAATGATGAAACCTTAAACTTTTTTTCCTTGAGATTGAGAACCAGTGACTTCGTTTGATATTGCCGTAGTAGTCCTAGCTGTTGCAATAAGGACAAATAAACAAATTGAAAAAGCTTGAAGATCTGAAAAGAACTAAAATTTAATATATGCAAATGACATGTGTGTAGAGAACCATGGACTACATAGGAAAACTATGAGGCCTGATAAATTTATCAAGATTTCAGGAATTAAGGTCAACCTACAGAAATCAATTGTATTCTTATATTCTAGCCATGAACATTTGGAAATGTGATTTTAAAAAGATCGCACTTACAAGAGTATCAAAAACCATACTTGCCCAGGAATCAATCTAAGGAATTATGTACCAGTCTTCTACGCTAGAAATGACAAAACCTTGTCAAGAGATAGTAAAGAAAACCCAATAACTAAGTGGAAAGCTAACCAAGTTTGTGGATTAGAAGACTCGATATTTTTAGGATTTCCATGCTTGCTAAATTGATCTGGAGATACAACCCAGTTGGCCATCTGCAACCCAATTGGCTGTCAACAGGATGATGAATAAATAAAAAAATGGTATATTCATCCATTGTCATGTGGGTCAAATTACTGATGCGTACAACAGCATGACTGCATCCTGTAGAAACTTCATGTTACACACAAAAAGCCAGACACAAGAAATGGTAAATACTGTATCATTCCATTTACATGCAGTTCAAGAACAGGCTCAACCAATCTATAAGTGATAAGTAAAAGACAGTGGTTGCTTCTTTGTTGGGAGAGGATATTGATTGGAAAGGGATAGGAGGGAACTTTCTGGAATGAGAGAAAGATTGTATAACTAGTTTCGGGTAGTGGTTAATGAGGTATACATGTTTGTCAAAACTCACCAAACTGAGCATTTAAAATTACCCGTTTTATTATGATTTAATTATACCTCAGTAAATGTGTTTAGATTGAAAATCACAAATATCTTACTGAATTATTGAACCGTTTTAAGGTAATGCTTTCTCATACTCCACTGAGGAGAAAAAATTCAAGTTCTTTGGTTTTTACAGTGTTTTGTCCTCATAGGTTTTGTGTGGCCATAAAGAAGGAGAATTACCCGGATTATATGCCCTCAAACATATTTTCTGATAGTGCAAAACAGATCTTCAGACAACCTGGACATACCATATACCTCCTGCCAACTGTGGTCATCTGCAACTTGCTACCTTGTGAACTTGACTTTTATGTTAAAGGGATGCCAATTAATGGGACCCTGAAACCCGGCAAAGAGGTGGCCCTCCACACAGCTGATACATCGCAGAACATTGAACTGGGTGAGGGTTTAGTCAAAGAATCATTGGTGGTAACTATATGGAAATGTCACTGAGTATTTTGTGATCATTTGGTAAACATTTTAGAGAAATTACAGCACATATGATATCTCAATAACCCAGCTCAAGGGATTTACGCAACTAAAAAAAAAAAACTTAGAAAATTATCAAAAGAAAAAATCTGAACAAATCCAAAAGATTTACAGAGGAAGCATTCAACAGAGTCTTTTTTCTTATATTGCTCACTTGATGTGTGACTACAGGAAGTCATTTCATCTTTTCAAACCATGCTTCTTTCCTGGCTGTAAAATGAGCAAAATCCGAGGTCTCTCCTCTTTTTAGGAAAGGGAAAGATATGTGCTTGGCACACACAGTACTCCAGGCATTATGTCAGGTGCTTTCACACACGTGATCTCACATAAGCCTACGGTGGTAGTTGCTGCTCTTATTTACCGATGAAGAAACTGAGGTTTGGGGCGTTTCACGCACCAGGTGATTTTCAGCCATAGGGACGAATGCCGTCAACGTAGAGAATCATTACTTTATTTGCAGCACTTAAGGCAAAGAGGGATTCCTGGAGTTTGGACAGGACATATGACTCAGCTGCGTGAGTGACCTCATTGTGTCCTCTCACACAACCCCTGTTTCAGGCGGACAGCTGTTAGCCCCATTTTACAAGTGAGGAAACTCAGACTCACTGAACTTAAGCAGTGTGTTCAACGGTGACCAGCTGACATTTCAGCGAATGTGTGAATCCTTGAGCTTGATTTAGAAGAAAAAAACAACGCAGTGCTAGTTGTCCATTCTAAAGAAAACAAGTCTCCCCTCTTGACATTTAAGTATCTCTTCAACAAATGTTCCTGGAGCCCTGTAGAAAATGGAAATGTCCTCCCCAACCCACCACCACTGCACGTACACACAGCACTCCTGTCTTCCCAGTCACGCTCCACATGGATGATCACTTTTAGTAACAATCCTGCGACGGACCTACCGGTATTCTCCCCATTTGGCAGAGGAGACGCATCGAGGTTAGCTTGCCCCACCCCCAACCCCCCATCACACAGCTGGTAAGGACAGACTGGGAATTGGAAGCCAGGCAGCATGACTGCTGAAGACCTTGCCTCTTACCCTGTACTTGCCTTTCCTGTGTTTGAGGTGCCTGCCCAGCTCAGGGCCTGATGAATAGTAAGCTAACAATAATCATAGCTGTTTTCGATAGCTTTTTGGTAGTTTCATCCTTCTCATTATGCAGTTCAGACTCTCTCGTGTACCTTCCAGACCGTCTGGTTTGCTTCAAATTTATTCTCACCCCAGCTAAAGGAAAATGGCTGTTCTAATGAGATGTTTGCTGGTTACATATGTAGTTACTGATTTTTCCAAAAGGAATCCAATTTTGTTTGGCTGTGGGCTATTCTGACAAACTAAAGTGAGAACCCAGGCAGACAATAGCTTGTATCTTCTTTAGGGGTATCACTGGAGAATTTTCCACTCTGTAAAGAATTGCTCATTCCACCTGGAACCCAAAACTACATGGTAAGAATGCGACTGTATGACATCAACCGGCGGCAGCTGAACCTCACCATCCGGATTGTGTGTCGAGCAGAAGGATCCTTAAAGATCTTCATTTCTGCTCCATATTGGTTGATTAACAAAACAGGTATGTACAGAGGCCGCTCAAGGAGGCCTCTGGCGTTGGTCATGGGAATTCAGATTTATTTGCTCAGCTAACTGAATGGAGCCAATGCAAATAGATTACTTCAACAGTCTAAGCTGCTAAAACTCTCCTGCTTCCATAATAAATGCTTAATCGTGGTCAAAAGTGTCCTTTCAGACAACAAACTGAGCCCACCAAATAAATTCAATTTTCACAATTCTCCCCCTTGACGATTTTTTTCCTTTACCATCTGCATCTGTCTTGCGTAGACTGGGTGGGATTGATGTAAACTTTCCCCCTCCTTCCGAAAGGGTTACCACTGATCTTCAGACAGGACAATGCAAAGACAGATGCTGCAGGCCAGTTTGAGGAACATGAGCTGGCCCGGAGCCTGAGCCCTCTCTTATTCTGCTACGCTGACAAAGAGCAGCCAAACCTGTGAGTACAGTTATTTATGGAAAGGGGAAATAAGCTCCTAGGCAAGGGAAAAAATTAGCAAAGGCTATAGCATATCCATGCAAGTAGAAATATACTGTAGATAACAATCCTGACTTGGCAGGGTAATAGGACCATGATCTAATGGGATTTTTTTGGATCTAATTTCTGTGTCATTTGATACTGAAAATAAACCATTTGGTGGGTTTATAATGAAAGCTAGTTTTATTTTACATGTATTGAAGGAGTTCTATTCATAACTCCACCAATGAGGAGAACCCACATATTCCCTTCCCTGTTCTGCAAGGTTTTCTCCTGCACTGAGCCTTCAGCATGGGCAGCAGAGCTGTTATCAGAGGGGAGATAGCCTGGCCCTTTGGTAAACCCAGTCCAGGGCGTTTTTTTGAAATAAACTGTGCCCTCTCAAGAGCTCAGAGCACTCACTGCATGTTTAAAGGCAGGGACGAGCAGCGTTTGCGAGATTTAGATGACCTGGCCTTTGCAGGTGTGGTAGGAGCATGAATTCCCTTTTGTTCTTGTTTTTGACATTCTGCTCTTTATAGGAGTCTTCTCATTTAGAGCCTTCCTCAGAGGGAGGTGAGCGCATAGCGCTACAATGCCATCCCCTGCTGTAGAGAAGTAGAAGTGAGCCGCAGCCGTCCGAGGAAGGCTTCAGGAGCGCTGCACACCAGCAGGTGCAGACGCGGCTCCTAGGCAGGGCTGCGGTCTCGGACCTACTGGGGACTGACTGGATATGGAGGGCGATACAGACAGCCCCTTGACACAGTCTCACGCCTTCCCCGAGAGGATTCTGACGGTTTTAGATCGAGGACTTGACATCTGTGACGCAGTTTGACTTATCCCGGGAACCCACGGTTCACCAAGCATCTCTGCCTCGCCCATCACATCCCAGAGGATCAGGCAGGGCAGGAAATACTGTTTTATTTTAAGATGAGGAAACTGAGGCTCAGAGCAAACTACCCATCCAAGGTTACGTGGCTTGTTAGTGGTAGAGCAGGAACACACACTGGGGAATTCTGTCTCCAGGATCCGTGACAAGACCCTGGCCACCCAGACGGCGCTTTGCCGTTGTAATAGTACCAAGCCTGAGAAAGAAGATACCATTAGCTGCATCTCCTGTACGTACTTCTCTGGTGTGCACAGAGTCGTGTACACACTTTTCTCCTACGGTCAAGGTCTTTCACGAACCCCTGAAACACGTGAGATAGGAAAGTATCAGTTTGCCTCGACTCCTTGTTTCTCAGAGGAATAAGGGGTCGTAGTCTTTTCCTTATGATTTATGCTCATCGAATCATAATGTTTTCTCTGATCATGTCCAGGTAGAGATGTCAGTACATTTCACACATTACAGTACTGTGGCCGCCTCTAAGATCAGAGTTCTGACCACTGGCCGATTGCCTTGCTGTGTTGGGAAATCACACGAGGGTGAGGAAGAGCCAGTGTTAGAGTTCTGGTTTGGGGTGGTAGCTACAGCAGTGTTTCCTGATTAGAACAGGTGGATAAGACTTTCTCATGGCTGAATACATGTATCTCTGCTTTTCTGCCCCACAGCTGCACGATGAGAATCGGAAGGGGGATTCATCCTGAAGGCATGCCGGGCTGGTGTCAGGGCTTCTCGCTGGATGGTGGTAGTGGTGTACGAGCTTTGAAAGTCATCCAGCAAGGAAACCGCCCAGGGCTGATCTATAACATTGGTGGGTTACATTTGGAGCAGCGGGAGAATCAGAACCATTGGCCAATGACCTCAGGCTTGGAGGAATAAGCTGGCCATATGTTTTGGCCTGGCTGCAAGTGCTGATTTTCTCATTTGGCATTGGGTCAGGTATCTGTTCTCTGAATGCTAGATTGATAACAACACAGATCTGTTCTCCTAGGGACTAAGGAGCCACCTAAACACTGCCCTTTTGAGGTCTGGGGCTCTGTTTAATTTCAGACTCACCTGTGTCAGGTAAGTATCGGTTTGGCTTGAATCCTTGTTTTTCATGGGAATAATAGGAACACTTAGAATGCTTTTCATCCTCCAAGCATTTCCCACGCATTCATTAAAACTTGCAAACCCCAAGAGGGTAAGAAGCATTGTTCTCCTTGAAACTGAAGCAGAGAGGTTAAGTGACTTGCCCAGATGCAAAGGGCAAGTCTGGGTCAGAAGTAGGATTGTGATTGGGGCGTACACATTTAAGGCAGAAAATATAATAAAACGTGCTTAGCGGTTATGGTAATTAGAAGCCCCTAAACTAGCTTAACTTCTTGAGGTGGAGGGTGTTGAGGGAGGGGGAGAGTACTGTACAATATACCTCAGAGCCACCTGGGACACTCAAAAGACTTTCTGAAGAGTTAAGATAAGTTTGACTTAAATATGTCTCAGGTTTAAAATGTTAGCAGTGCACCCTTCCTTTAGTATATAATTTCCAAAGATCTCAAAGCACTGTTGAGTGTTGAATGCTGGAAAACCATCTAGAATGTGCTGTCTGTCACTGAACCCTCTACGAGGATGGCAGTGCTCCATTTTACACCATCCAGTGCAGCAGTGCCAGCCATGTGTGGCCACCGAGCACGCAGGAGTACCTCACTAAGAAATGGGCAGGTGTGACCAAGGAATTGAATCCTGCGTTGTACTTGATTTTAATGAGTTTAAATAGACATTCAGGATTCATGGCAACTGTAATTGGACAGTGCAGATACAAAGAGTCCTGTTGTAGAGGGAAAATCCGAGGTGGTATCATGTAGCTGTTTACCCTGAGTCCCGTGGAGGGTCAGAGGTATGTTTAAGTATTGGAGGGCTTATTAACAAGAGTCTCTTCCAAGTCCAGCTTCCTTTTCCTGTTTTTGGAACATGAATTCATATGCGTTCTCCCTTGACATGGGAGCTGTCTTCTTTAAGGTTGATGTTAAGATTTTTAGTAGAAGAAATAAACTTTCTGTGATCCTCCCACCGGGGATCATTTTCTTTCTTTTATTATTATTATTATTATTGTTGTTGTTTGTTTGCCCCGGGGTCATTTTCTGTACTTTGTCTTTACATCTGTTTGCTCCACCTCTTAAATAGGCAAAGGCTGTGTTTCATGCTATGTTTGGCTATCTGCTGGGGTATCTTGTCCTTGATACAGTTCCTAAAGAAAGATACCACAGATTGGCTAGAAGCTGCAGTTGGGACAGATTGGGGGGGAAATGGAGGCTTGTGCCTTCTGAAGCAGCTGGTACTCAGGAAGCACAGAGTTCTGCAAAGAGGCAAACAGGTCTCTGGTCAGAAATAACGATGTAGCATGCATATAAACTTGTATGCAAGGAGCATTCATTAAAAGTCATTGCATGTGTTTTTAGGAACAGTACTGTGATAGGAATTTTGTTGTTACACCAAAGAAAGGGATAGAGGGGGTAGGCTAAGATAGGAGTTTATAATTCCTAAGGATCATGAGATCTTGGCATGTATTATCAAGGGAATTTGTAGAATCTCTCCCTTGAATATTTTTGAAGAATTAGATAACCAGCTCCCTATCAGGAGAGTTTAAAAGTGAAGTCCCAAGATGAAAAGCCAGGGAGGACCTTGCCAGTTAGCCCTACATGTACCTCCAAAAAGAAGGATTTTTGTACATTTTAATCTTATCAGATGTTCATTTATTGGGACTTTGTTGAGGCAGTCTAAGATGAAAAAGGACACAAAAAAGCCTGCTTTTTAAAAAAATTGGGTCTTTATACTATAGACTCTTTTTGTAATATCAAATTAAATATATCTTTTGTAGGCAGACTTTGTATTGGTTAAGATCAGCTAGCTGTGAATATCAACTTCTGACAATGTTTTCCTGTAGCAGGAAAAAAATGATAGGGTACATCTCCCTATTCGAGTTTTTTTTTTTTTTTTTTTAAAGATTTTATTTATTTGTTTGACAGCAAGAGAGGGAACACAAGCAGGGGGAGTGGGGGAGGGAGAAGCAGGCCTCCTGCTGAGCAGGGAGCCCGATGTGAGGCTCAATCCCAGGACCCTGGGATCATGACCTGAGCCGAAGGCAGACACTTAACGACTGAGCCACCCAGGCACCCACCTATTCAAGTATTACTTAGCATTTCTTAGCTACAGAATTTCAGACTTTTCCTGTTTTTGTGATTTGCTCAGTCTTTTTTTTTTAAAGATTTTATTTATTTTTTGACAGAGAGAGAGGGAACACAAGCAGGGGGAATGGGAGAGGGAGAAGCAGGCTTCCTGCTGAGCAGGGAGCCTGATGTGGGGCTCGATCCCAGGACCCTGGGATCATGACCTGAGCCGAAGGCAGACGCTTAACGACCGAGCCACCCAGGCGCCCCATTTGCTCAGTCTTTTAGATATTTTGAAGACTTAGATTAAAGCAATACCAGCTTTTTTAAGCCAGTACAGGTGAATTATGGAGTTAACAGACTAGAATATTTATAATTGGGGTTATGTTGGGACACCCAGGACACCTAGTTATCATGTCCTAAGATCTCTTCTTTTTTTATGGTCTCTTGACACTTGTTGACTGCTGAGTAGGGTCCTTGTAAATGTCCCATCATGATGTGAGCAAGGGCTCCCGAGGCAGTGTGCCTGGGGTTGAACCCAGCTGGGCCACTTACTGGCTCTGTGACCTAGTGCTTAAGTTTCCTCGTGTATAAAAAGGAAAGACTGAAAATACCATCTGATAAGGTTGTTAGGGAATTAAATGTAGAGCCTTTGGGAGAGGCGCATCCTGCATTAAGAATTCAATAAGTATCATTTTTATTATTTCTAACTATAAATATTTTTATCCTTGTATAACCAGAGCTCAGCCTAGTGCCTTGAATATAGTTGCTGTATTTATTATCTGAATGAATGAATAATTTATCCCACTGAGTTTTGTAGTTTTTAAAATTGTCATCAGAGTTTTTAAGATAATTCAGTGCTGTTTCCCTTCTTTCTTTCTTTGGGATCCAGTGTTTGGAGATGACATGGTAGGTGCTGGAAACATTTATCTTGTGAGTGAATACATCTATAATATTTAGCTTCATGTTTCAGCTGGGTTCTTGGACAGTGGGCTAAAAGAAAGTCCTAGAGAAGAGTCCGCTGTGTTTAGGGCCGTGCAGGATCCAGTTAAATAATCTGAAATTTCTGCCGTATGTGAAAGGCAAGTTCCCCAGGAGGAAATTTTGTGTCCCAGATGTAAACAGAAATGTATTACATGAATGTCTTAGTCCGCTTGGTAAACGGAAACTACCAGGACCTGTGGCTGAACACCTGCATGTCTTAGTTGCTGTTGTGTTGGGGCAGCCTTTATGGAGAAGCTAGGAATTACGAAACTTTTACTGAAACTTTTTAAGGCTGAAGTGGGCATAAAGAATAAGACTTTGAGTGCAGTTGTTTTCATTCCATTCTTGGAAGGCTGGACAGCATCTCTGGGTGATATGATTGTTTTCTCAGGGAAAGTACATACTTGTGAAGCCTATTGGTTTCTGTCAGACCATGAATTTTCTTTCTTCTGATTAACTCATGGAAGTGGTTCTTACTATTTGCAGGGATTGATGTCAAGAAAGGCCGAGGTCGATATATTGACACCTGTATGGTCATCTTTGCCCCTCGTTACCTGTTAGATAATAAATCATCTCACAAGCTTGCATTTGCACAGAGGGAATTTGCCCGGGGACAGGTAAGTAGTTTACTTTTGAAGAATGACTAGTGTTTATTTAACAGCACGGAGAGTTTTAATGCCATGGCTTCTCTCTCCATCAGCACTGTGAGTTTTGTGATGTGAATGACCATTTTGTGCCTTTGGAACCCTAACTAGCTCGTGGTAGGGGGCTCAGAGTAGGTGGTTACTCAGGAAACATTTGCTGTCTTGACTTGATTTGTTGACTAAAGCCAGTGATCCTGTGTATTTTAGGGAACAGCCAATCCTGAAGGTTACATTTCCACCCTTCCTGGTTCCAGTGTGGTGTTCCATTGGCCTCGGAATGACTATGATCAGCTCTTATGTGTCAGATTGATGGATGTTCCCAACTGTATTTGGTCTGGAGGCTTTGAAGTCAACAAGAATAATTCCTTCCATATCAACATGAGGTAAATTCAGAGACTGTATTTAAACAAAAAGTAGTCGTGTTTGAGGTGCAGTAATGTAAACAGTGCAATAATGTAAACAGTGAGCTGTAAATACCATATACAATGGAAATACCTACAAGTCTATAAAAAGTAAATAGTAATATTACCCTTCATGAAATGGGCACATTTCTAGCTCAAAGTTCTTAAAACTTGCAGTGACCAGATAAATATGACCAAATGTTTTGATGGAATGAATTAAAGGGCATGTTGACAGTTTTGACCATGGTGCAGTTGCTGTAGGCTGAGGTTGTAAATCCAAGGGGCTGCACTGAGCTCATGATTGCCTGCAGCTCTGAAAATTCTGTCTGTATTTAGATGCTAACATTATTTATAGATGGTTTTGTATATTCTTCCACATTGTGTATGCTCTTTTCTCACTTGGTTGGTTTAGTAAATTATCTGGCCTTCTTTACCCAACCCAGTGACCCTCACGGTTGTTGGAGTGGGGGGTGGGGTGGGAGGGATGGGGTGGCTGGGTGATAGACACCAGGGAGGGTATGTGCTATGGTGAGCGCTGTGAATTGTGCAAGACTGTTGAATCACAGATCTGTACCTCTGAAACAAATAATGCAATATATGTTAAGAAAAAAAAAAAAGATAGGAGGGGAAGAATGAAGGGGGGGAAATTGGAGGGGGGGAGACGAACCATGAGAGACGATGGGCTCTGAGAAACAAACTGAGGGTTCTAGAGGGGGTATTAAAGAGGGCACGTTCTGCATGGAGCACTGGGTGTTATGCACAAACAATGAATCATGGAACACTACATCAAAAACTAATGATATAATGTATGGTGATTAACATAACAATGAAAAATTTTTAAAAAATTAAACAGATTCAGTCTCAACTACCACAGGATGACTTTTTTCTTTCTTTTTTTGCTTTCATCAAATGCTTTTTTAAAAAAAAAGTATTAATTTTTTTTAAATTGTGATAAAATACACATACCGTATAAGAAAGATAACACAAAGGCACAGATTATTTTTGTGGGCCTCAGGCACATAACATGAAATTTACCATCTTAACCATTTTTAAAGTCACTAGGTTAAGTGTATTCATACTACAAGGCAGCCAGTGTCCAGAACTCTTCTTGTTTTGCAGAATGAAACTCTATACCCATTAACAACAACTATGCATCTCCCCCTTCTTTATGTTAGTATCACACTGTTTTGAATAATGTAGCTTTGTAATGAGTTCTGAAATCAGGAAATGTGAGACCTCCAACTTTGTTCTTTTTTTAGGATTATTTTGGGGGCTCCTGGCTGATTCAGTCAATAGGGCATGTGACACTTGATCTCGGGGTTATAAGTTCAACCCCAATGTTGGGTGTAGAGATTACTTAAAAACAAAATATTTTTTAAAAAAGATTATTTTGGTTGTTTGGAATTCCTTGAGATTCTATCAGAATTTCAGGGTAAATTTTTCTATTTCTGGAAAAAAAACCACTTGGGATTTGGGTAGGGACTGTATGAAATCTGTAGATCCACATTAGGCAGCATTGCCATCTGAACAACATTAAGTCTTTGGATCTGTACACATGGGATGCCATTCCATTTATTTGTGTCCTGTTTAGTTTCTTTCATCAAATGCTCTGGCAGCTAAAGACACTGAAATCATTGCTATTTTGATGCATTTAGAAATAAAATTTAAGCTTTTATACTTTATGGTTAGTTCTCCATTGAGAACACTCTTGTAAAGGAACCGAAAAAAGGCTGATTTAAGAAGAGATGATGCAAAATAGTATCTATATTTGACTTTTTAAAACATGCATTATCTGAAGGTTGTTTTTTTCTTTGTGGTCAGTGGTGTATCCTTCTAATTTCCTTTTGCCCTGGCCCTGATTAGAGTCCATTGCATTTGGTAAAGGGGTTTTCAAGCTGTGTTTCTAGGAGTCGTCAGGGGGTTTAAGGAGGTGACTTCAGGGGCTGAGCCAAGTGGGCAGGGCCCCAGTGCACTCCCTGCTTCAACCAGGACTCTTGTCTGTTAGTATCCTGTGTCCCCACCAGACTTAATGGGGTGGGGTGGTGAGGAATTGCTTCTGCAGCTAAAACCACCAGTGGTTTATGTCCTGCTTGGGTGGAGGTCGCCTGGATATGTTGTGTGAGAAGAAGCCAATTCAGAATTAAGCAAAAGTTGTTCATGACTACTTCAAGGAAGGAAGGGAGGAAGAAAAGAAAATGTGTGGAGGCGGGGGAAGAAGATGGCATGTACACCTCTGTTAACCCTTTGGAGTGGTTTTAGTGCACAGAGCTACTGAGCATGGGCCCACAGCCTCTTTCTTTGCCCTTCTCCATGTTTTCATTTTGAAACTGTTTAAACCTACAGAAAACTCACAAGTGGTATAAAGAACACCCCTTTATCCTTCACCTGGATTAACTAGATGTCAGCATTTTGCTGTGTCCTTGCTTTGTCTCCACACATGCACGCATGCATACTTTTTTTCGAGCCATTTGAAAGTAAATTGAAGTCATCCTGTTAGTTTAGCCATAAAAACTTCATTTAGCTACCCAAAGACGAGGACATTTTTCTGAGTAAATATACTATCATTACACAGTGAAGAAATTGAATATTGGTTTGTTTTCTGATTTTTTTTTTAAGGTAATCTCTACACCCAGAGTAGGGCTCAAATTCACGACCCAGAGATCGAGAATCCCATGCTCTACCGACTGGCCGCCCAGGCGCCCCCTGATAAAGTCTTTTGAAATGTCCTTCATAGGGGTGCCGGGTGGCACAGTCAGTGACACAGTCACATGTCATTTGGCATCCGATTCTTGGTTTTGGCTCGGGTTGTGATCTTAGGGTCACGAGATCGAGTCCTGTGTCTGGCTCCATGCTCAGTGTGGAATCTACTTGGGATTCTCTGTCCCTCTCCTTCTGCCCCTCCTACTCATGCACGCACACTCTCTCGCTCTCTCTCTCTGAAATAAATAAATCTGAAAAGAAAGAAAGAAATGTCTTTCGTAGCAGCTCCCTTCCTCCTGATCGAGGATCTGGTCACAGATCATGCATTTTATTCGGCAGATAGATCTCATCCACTTTAACCTACAGTAGTCCTACTTTTCCTTTTTTGCCTTTTTTGACATTGGACTTTTTAAAGATTCCAAGCCAGTTTCTTGTAGAATGTTCTATTTTCTGGATTTCTCTGAGAGTTTCCTATACATAGATTTAGGTCAGACATTTTTGGTAAGAATACTACATATATGGTGTTACGTGTTTCTCAGTGGGTCACACAGGAAGCCTGTGACATCTGTTGGTCCCATTATTGATGTTGCTAAATTCAGTCATCACTTGATTAGGGTGGTGGTGTCCACCAGATCTCTTTATTGTAAAGTTACCTTTGATTCTTTGAAAACAGTAGTAGACCAGTGGGGGGATAATTTGAGACTATGTGTATATTCTCCCCAGAAACCTTTCACCCACTGGTTTGGTGGTTCTTGCCTGAATCAGTGATTGCCTTGGTGGTTGCAAAATGGTGATTTTCTAATTATTTCATTTCTTCTACATTTATTAACTGATATTCTTTTGAAGGAAGAGCTCCCTCCTTCTCTCCAGTGATCTATCTATATTTAAATACACATACACGTATACATAAACACACACATATAGAAGAAAAATCATGGTTTACATACTGGTAACTACTGGTGGATTCTTCCTCACCAATCATCCTACAGTGAAAACCCTGGTTATTAATAATATCCATACATTAGTTTGAACCATGTGAAATTGCTCTTTTTTTATGTCAAAGCAATCTAATATCAAGACTATTTACTCATTTGCTACGCTGGCACTATTACCCAAAACAGGCCCACCAAGTAAAATATATTGGCTTTACTATATACCGACAACGTGCTTTTCAGAAGTTGCTTGGATGAATTCTTTATTCAGTGTGATTACAGGGTCAGTTTCTACTTTTCAAAGAGCACACAGTGGTGACAGTTGAGGTCCAGACCATATCATGATAGTGAGAAGTCTGGGTGAGCTGTAACTTGTTTCCTCCATGGTGTGCATGTTTCCTTTACGTGCAGAGATACCCTGGGGAAGTGCTTCTTCCTGCGCGTGGAAATCACTCTCCGAGGAGCTACCTACAGGATCTCGTTCAGTGACACGGACCAGTTACCCCCTCCTTTCCGAATTGACAACTTTTCTAAGGTATCGGGTGGGGTCGTGAGCCGGTTTGGCTGTTTCATGTGCGGGAAGGTGGAGTATAAAGTATAAAGTACTGCCTTTAAGATAAGGGTGAAATGCATTTTAAACTTGGGTTGGAAAGAAACTATATGGGGATCTCTGCAGCCGGACAACCCTAGACACCCTTACCCTCAGGAGGTGGCTTCTGCTAGTTAGTTTGATTGCTGGGCAGCCTTGTCCAGAAGTGACTTCTCAGCCCACCACAATCATTCTGACTGGATTATTTGGTGGACATGGTGCCCTCTGTCCTCTGTAGACACTCTACACAGAGAGAGGAATCAGAATCAGATTGTCCAGTGACAACGGGAATGGGCACTTCTCCTGTTGCTTCATTACAGTGAACATTTTTTATAAATCTTCCAAGGAAAGCCAAAATGGAAATCAGAAGAGGCTCTTTTAAATTATGCCTCTGAGGGGTGCCTGGGTGGCTCAGTCATGTCTGCCTTTGGTTCAGGTCATGATCCCAGGATCCTGGGATCGAGCCCCGTGTTGGGCTCCCTGCTCGGAGGAGAGCCTGCTTCTCCCTCTCCCACTCCCCTGCTTGTGTTCCCTCTCTCGCTGTCTCTGTCTCTCTGTCAAATAAATAAAAATAAATAAATAAATAAATTACGCCTCTGAGTAACAGTATCTTTTGTGACTTCCCATAGCTGAATTCTAGAATTTGTATTCTGGGTGGGGGGTCGGGGGGGGAGAGCGGTGAGAGTAGAGGAGATGGCCCGTGTCCTTTAGCTGTTGGGCTTGGTGCAGTTGGGAAGATGATTAGAAAGGCATTTGAAGAGGCTAGAGGATTATGCTTATGATTGTGGTTTTGCTCTGTGTAGGATTCACTTGGGCAGGATCTGGAACTTGAGCCTAGGGAGCACTGACTCACTTTCCAGTAATACCACTCTGAACGAAAGTCCTCTTTATCCTCTCTGCCGTTACCATAGGTTCCGGTGGTCTTTACTCAGCACGGTGTAGCTGAACCCAGGCTCCGAACCGAAGTGAAGCCCATGACTTCATTGGATTACGCCTGGGATGAACCCACCCTGCCTCCTTTCATCACGCTGACCGTGAAGGGGGCGGGCTCCTCGGAGCTCAACTGCAACATGAATGATTTCCAGGATAACCGACAGCTTTATTATGAAAACTTCATTTACATTGCTGCTACGTATACATTCTCGGGGTAATTCTGGGTTAAACTACTGCTCTCATAAAGCAGAAGACTCTAATTATTAACTGGTTTTAAATTTTAAGCAGTTCTCAAGAGGCCCAAAGGATGAAGGAAGATTCCTTCCATTCTTTAACAAATCCTAGGCTCAGGGTCTATCTTGAGAGGTCTTAGGCTAAACCCTTGTCTTCTGGCTAGATTAAATTTATCCGAAGAGGCAAGACTGTTCTTTTTTTTAAAGATCTCCCCAATAATCCATTCTAGCATTTAACATTCCTCCCATAAGGTATTATTCTCATATCCTCAGTTCCTCTTGTTTAAGGTGGTATTTTTAGTATAATTTTTAAACTTCTTGCCATTTTGATCTCTTTCCTCATTTGAAACTGACAAATCTTTATCATAATTATTCAAATCGTCATTCTGACTCTCCTCTCCCATTGAGAATAATGGTCATCACCGATAGCCAACCAGAGTAGCTCAACTTGACAGTAATTCGAGCCGCCTGAGAATTATAATCTTCATTGTCCTCTGACTAGTTGTATTTAGGAAACTCAGGTGAGGAATAGCAAGTTTATTCCAATTCTGTTGTTAGATTGGTACACAGAGATTCAAAACATTGGGCTTTCAAAAACTAGTCATTCCACCAACATGTAAATACAGTGGATTGTTTCTGTGCCAGTTATGGGGCCAGTTTTCAAGTTTACCTGTGGGAAAAACGGGGAAAATAGCTAAATCTTTAGCATGACAAATATAACTCACCCATTGTACAGGACATTTAAAGTCAGATCCCTTTCCAAAATGTTCTGAATAATTTTGCTTATGAATGATATTTTTGTATGTGCCTGAGGCTTGCAAAATAATCTCTGGGTCTGGCGGTACCTCTCACCTACCTAGAGCCCAGATTTCACTAGTAATGAATTGAATGGGCATCTTGGCTTAGAATAGCCATTCTTTTCCTTGTTTGTTACAGATCTCTTTGGAAATAATGGTGCTGGGTTGTTTATCTTGTTGTAATTAAGTCAGTCTGCCTGTTTCTTTTTAAAGATTACGGCACTCGCCAGAGTGACATGCTTAAGGTTTTAGTGCCTGAAAAACCAGTTCTTAATCTGTTGCTAATCATGTTTTTCTCTTTATGTTCTCATGTTAAATTCCAGTAGTTATTATGCTCTTTAACTGAAGAATCCTGATGGGTGATTATGAGTTTAATGGGTTGGGCAGATAGGGAGCAGATAAAACGAGACCCTGGGAATCTTGGTGTGTACAGAGATTGCACCATGTTTTGGTGCATTTTAGGCACTATTTCTTTGCATTCTTGCAGAGAACAAATGCTGAGGAAGAGACTAGTTTTGTTTTTGTTGGCTTTTAGTTTCCGTTGAGGTGAAATGCACACAACATAAAATTAACCGCTTAAAAATGAACAGTTCAGTGACATTTAGTGCATTCGTGATGTTGTGCAGCCACCACCCCTGTCTGGTTCCAGAACATTTTCATCAGTCCAAGAAGAAACACCCAGCCCATTAAGCAGTCACTCCCCGTCACCCTCTTCTCCCCAGCCCCTGGCAACCAGCAGTCTGCTTTCTGTCCCTAAGGATTTACCTATTCCAGATATTTCCCATAAATTGAATCATAAATACGTGACCCTTTGTATCTGGCTTCTTTCACGTAGCATAGTTTTCAAGGTTCGTCCACGCTGTAGCTTGTGTCGGAATCCCCCACCTGTTATGGCCGAGTAATGCTCCGTTGTATGGGCGTACCACACCCTGTTGTCCATTCCTCTGTTGATGGACACCAGTTGTGGTCTCCAGCTTTCGGCCACTGTGAAGGGTGCTGCTGTAGCGTGCCTCTGCACGTGTTTGTTTAAGTACTCGCTTCCAGTTCCTTTGTGTATACACCCAGGAGCGAAATTGCTGGGCTCTGTGGTATTTCTATGTGTAACTTTTTGAGGAACTGCTATCCTGTTCTCCGCGGCAGCTGAATCACTGTACGTTCCCACTAGCAATGTACAAGCGTTCTGATTCTCCGCGGCCCCCAAAACTTGCTATTTTACATTTTTTTGATTGTAGGCTTCCTCCTGGGTGTATAGTGACTTCTGCTGGTGGTTTTGATTTGCATTTCCTTAATAACTCACGATGTTGAGCTTTTCATGTGCTTATGGGCCATTTGTGTATCTTTGGAGAAATGTCTATTCAAATCCTTTACTCATTTTTAAATTTGTTTTTTTTTTTTTTGCATCTTATTGTTGAGTTTGAAGAGTTCCTTATATAATATGATACAAATTCTGTATGAGCTATATGATTTGCAAATATCTTCTCTCCCATTCTGTGAATTGTCTTTTTACTTTGTTCTTGGTGTCCTTTGAAGGGCAGAAGGTTTTAATTTTGTTGAAATCGAATTTATGTGTTCATTTTTGCCACTTGTACTTTTTTGGTCATGAAAACTAATTTTTCACTCTGAATTTATTGGTCCCTTTTTGATGATAGAGATTAGTGGAAACAGGAGAATAATCTAAATAAAATCTTACGAAAATATCCCAAAGTGTAGCTAGGCTGCAACATTCCATAAAGCTTAAGATTTTAAGCCATGGAGAAACACAAAATGATCGAGTTGGAAGAAGGTGATTATAAACCCTTTGTTTTCTTTTCATCCTAAAGGGACTTCTGATTTCTTGCCAAGCCTTGGGGATGCAGTGATGCTGATCTTCTGTCTGGCAGAGAGTAGAGCTAATTCTTGGACCCTTGGAATGTCTGGCTTAATTTTGGGGGGTGGGGGGAAGCTCTAAAGTTATATAGTCAGTCTTTTATGTCTGAATTTTAAGGCACTAAAATCATCAGGAGAGAGGAAATATCATTATGTCTTCTGACAAGTGCATCTTTGAACTGTACAAGAAAACAGCCCAACCTTGATCTTTCCACAACTTTGAGTTAGACTTTTTCTTCTATGATTAAAAAAAAGTTTCCTCTATACAGATGAGGTTTTAGGCATTTTAAGCATTTTCTTCTGAGTACTTGAATACATATTTGAGTATATGTAGATACCTGTATGTCTATCTGCATTATCGTTTTAATTCTAGTTTACAGGAGGGGACGGGAAGGCCTGTGGCCTCCAGCAAGACCACTGCCTGTGCAGAGCTTGTCTTGGATGTCTCACCAAAGACACAAAGAGTCATTTTAAAGAAGAAGGTAAGAGAACCTAGCACTTAGAATTTAGAAGAGGAGGTTTTTAGTCCTGGAGGGGACTCCGGTCATCCAGTCTAGCCCCTCCTCATGCACAGGGAGGGGAGTGGAGGCAGGCTGGATGGCTTGCTCAGGGTGGGAACACCGAGGTGCAGGAGTGACTTTAAGAGGAGGGAGATTGCTGGGGCGCCTGGGTGGCTCAGTCGTTAGGCATCTGCCTTCGGCTCAGGTCATGATCCCAGTGTCCTGGGATCGAGCCCCGGATCGGGCTCCCTGGTTGGAGGGAGATTGCCAACTCTGATTATTTAAATCACATTTCCCTGAAGCCTGTGTTCTCAAAGGTGTTCCATAATGTAAATCACACAATCCAAAAATAACCCTGGTAAGTGAATGTGTCTTTACCATCCGTTGCCCTAATGCTGACAGAGGACACCTTTTATAACCAAAAGTGGTATCAGTGTGTGTCAGTGATGTAGCTTCATTTGGATTTGAGTTTAGACAACTCCTCTCAAATTTTTAACTGGGGAAAGGGGCAGATTCAAATCATTTCAAATTTTGTACATCAAATGAAACCTTAAATGTGTTCTTAATTCACTTTTTATATTTGAACAGCTTTATTGAGATATAATTCATATAGCACACAGGCCCCCGACTTACAGTGTACAACTCAGGGTTTGTAGGTTATCCACAGATACGCGCGTGTCATCACACTCAATTTCAGAACATTTCATCACCTCTAGAAGAAACCCTGTTCCTCCAGCTCTTGCCCCATTTTCCTCTTACTCCCCAGCCCTAAGCAATCACTAACCTAACTTTCTCTCTGTACTTCCCTGTTCTAGACTTCCATGTGAATGGTGTTTTCTGAGTGGCCTCTTGCACTGAGCCTGATGTGTCCGAGGTTCACCCCCTGTCACCCTATCAGTACTTCTGCATGTGTTCTTATACCAGTTCAAAGTCATATAATTCAGATTTGCTTACAGTGTTATCACACTCTTTTTGTGGAAGGCTGTGCCTATGTGTGAGATGCATTTTGGAAATAAGATTCGGGAATGGTGATGATCAAAGAGACCATGAGGCATAGTAATTGAAAGTAAACGGGTCTGGAGGCTTTTATTGGGAATTCTGAAGAAGAAAAACCTTGAAAAGCAATAATCTAAAAATGAAAAGCAGCAAGTCCGACAGAAGTCAAGTGAATTGAAAAAAATGGCAGAGCCCTTGGAAATGATGTTGTCAGATGGCTTTCTAAGAATGTTCAAGTTGATGAGGATGTTAGCATGAATGGAGACAGACTTAGGAGTAAAGGTGATTTGCCAGCTGGGATTCGAGCACCAGGTGTGATCAGCAAAACAGAAATGATAAATAACTGTAAATTCCAAGGGCTAGGTAACTGTGAAGCAGGCAAAAACAGATTTTTTTTATGAAGTAGGAAAAACATTTTGAAAAAGATGTTATGATTTGTATAACATTTTTACTGCTGTTAATTTCCCTTGATGAGGGTGAAAACTGGTACATAGGAGGGTAGATCTAAATGAGTTACATTGACATCCCAAACTAGGAAATGTTCTAAGAATTAGCATTAGGAAAGGGTCCTCCGCTCTTCAACTGGAAACCAAGAGTAGAAAGTCTGACATCTTGGGTTTTTGGTTGGTTGGTTGGTTTTTGTCCTTTTACTTTTTATTTTGAAAGAATCTCAAATTCAGAGAAAAACTGGCAGAAATTCTATAGAAGGGATGCTGTGATTTTGATTTGTCCTGTTACTGTTGATGTTAACTTTAGCACTTGATGAAGGTGGTGTTTGCCAGCCTTCTGTACTGTAGAGCAAAATTTTTCTCTTTCCCTTGTATTTAGTAAATACTTTGTGGACAGGTACTTTGAGACTGTGTAGATATCCTCATCTTCATCAGATTTTCTATGTATTATGTCTATGTATTGGCTTAGACTTCCATAATGAAATACTATAGACTGGATGACTGGAATAATGGGAATTCATTTCTCACAGTTTTGGAGGCTGGGAGGTCCAGGATCAGGGTGCTGGCCATTTGGTTCTCTGCTGAGGGTCCGCTTCCTGGCTTGTAGACTTCTGCCTTCTCACTATGTCCTCAAATGGCAGAGTCTGAGGGTGGGGGGAGAAAGCAAGCTCGTAGGTGCCTGTCCTTGTAATGGCACTAATTACTAATTCCATCAGGAGAGTCTTACCCATATGCCCTGATCTAAACCTAATTATCACCCAAAGGTTCCATTTCCAAATACCATCAAAATTTCAGATTAGGTCTCTACCGTAAGAATGTGGGGCAGGGTTGTCAGTGTGGTCCATAGCTTCGTGTATGTCGTCAGGATGGATTCCTCTTTTCTTCAGTGGGTTACCTGTTACTGTCAGGATATATTTAATGCTCAATTCCCATATTCGGCCAGTGGGAGCTCTTTTATCTTCGGTGTCCTTTTGACATATGCCCCTCATTCCTTGAACACGTCCGTACTTTCTAACAGCAGGTTATTCTGGGCTCGTCTGTACTTTGCTTGCTGCATTTCTGGATTTGCCCCTTCTTCAAGGAGCCCTGGTCCCTCCTAGCAGAGAGTGGAAGTTAGAAAGCTAAGATGCGTACACTAGGTGCACTTGTTGTTACTGTAGTGTCGTTTCCAGGCTCTCCCAGGAGATGGAGCTAGGGGTTTTCTGCACGCACGGCATATGTGTATGTACACACGCGTGCCCGCACCCACGCTGTAATATGTGTACATGTAATACAGAGTATACATGTGTATACATACACATATTTTATATAAGTATTTATATATTTTGCGTATTTCTATATCTCTGTATTTTAAGAACCAGCAGTTCACACTGATATTTCCAATTCCAGTCCAACATCACAAATTCATCCTAATTTTCTCCCTTCCCATGTTTGTAAGTCCCTTGTCCAGCACTAAGAACGTATTTACTAATTTGATCACTTCCTCTGAATGTAACCCATCTTCTGTCACCAGAGTTGCACCCCATCCCCTGTGTAAACACACCCTGGGACCTGGCTTGGACTCTGATCTCCACGTCCTGGACAGCAAGCACCCTTTTCAACCTCCACCCCTAGCAGGACTGCTCTTCTCACCTCTCTTTGCCTCTGACAGCCCACACTAAGCTTCCAGCCTCCAGTCCCTTAGAGGACTGGACCATCACCTACCTTGGGCTTCAACACCACACTCTGGGCTGTCCACCCCCGCCCCCCACTTCCAACACTCACAGTCCCCATGGACTTCTGTCTTCCTCAGTGTCATCTCAAGGTTTTCAGGCTAAATTGTGAGGGAAGGGAAGTGGAAGGAGAATGGTACATCGCAGATTTTTAAAAAAATTTTATTATGTTATATTAATCACCATACATTACATCATTAGTTTTTGATGTAGTGTTCCATGATTCATTGTTTGCGTATAACACCCAGTGCTCCATTCAATACATGCCCTCTTTAATGCCCATCACCAGGCTAACCCTTCCCCCCCTTCCCCTCTAGAACCTTCTGTTTGTTTCTCAGAGTCCATAGTCTCTCATGGTTCGTCTCCCCCTCTGATTCCCCCCCTTCATTTTACCCTTCCTGCTATCTTCTTCTTTTTTAAAAAATATAATGTATTATTTGTTTCAGAGGTACAAGTCTGTGATTCATCAGTCTTACACAATTCACAGCGCTCACCATAGCACATACCCTCCCCAGTGTCAATCAATAGCCACCCCATCCCTCCCACCCCCCACCACTCCAGCAACCCTCAGTTCGTTTCCTGAGATTAAGAATTCCTCATATCAGTAAGATCATATGATATATGTCTTTCTCTGATTGACTTATTTCAGATTTTTAAATGGAAATGTTGGTAGTTTCTAACTCTGATGAGTCTACACATAAGGGCAGACAGTAGAGGAATCCAGGTAGGAAAACTTGATTTCATCCAGCATCTGTACTTTGACTCCCAATCTGGAACACCTGCAGGATAATTGAGCTGCTTTTCCATGTGGTTTTGGCACCGTGGATAGAGGTGCTTCTCTTACTGAGAACAGAGAAGTGAGCATGTGGGGGCCGCAGGTGTGCAGCTCAGTTTCCTCTCTCTCTACAGACACAGGAGGCAGGAGCACACAGGAGAAAGAGCATCGTATCTTTCTAGCTTTGCGTTTTGGTTTTGCCACTTAAAGATATACAGTATCTGGTATTTCACATTCCTCACGGAGGCTCATTTTCTTACTGATCTAACAAGGATCAATTAAGATGAGGTACCTAAAGTGCCGGGTGATACTCATCATAACACAGTAAATGTTTCGTGAGGCCACTCCCTGTGCTAAGTGCCTTCTATTTGTTACACTTACAACAAGAACCCTACAAGATAGCTTAATTTCCCCCTTTGACAGATCAGGAAACAGAGGCTCTGAGAGATTTAGTAACCTGTCTGAGGTCATTCAGCTAGTAATTGGTGCAACTGGGTTTCAAATCTTGGCATTTGAGTCTGGCGTTCATACGACTTCATTAGTTTTGACTGTTAGAACATAATGTAGAAGCTGTCTTTCCAGACAGGGGCAGCATGGTCCCCAGTACTCAGTGTGCGCTACCCACAAGTGTTTGTTGCTCTGGACGAGCTCCCGGCTGGTGAGAGTGGATGTGATCCTGACAGGGCTAGCTGGAGTGTATGTTCACACAGAAAGCATTTCTAGATGGTTAGGGGTTACTGCACTAGAATATCTGGATTGTGTTAGAAAGGCTGTGTGAGCAAAATAGGTAAGCATGTTGGCTTTGAAATCAGGCTGTGGAGATGAAATCCTCACTCCTCTACCTACTGGTTATGTGACCATGGCAAAGTTTCTTCATCTCACTGAGCCGTGACCTCCTCACCTGTAAGTAAAGATAATAATAGGATATACATTATTGGATTATTTTAAGGATTAAATGAGTTACCACATGTAAATCCCATGGATCAGTGACTGGCACATGGTAAATTCTCAATAGGTATTATTATCATTATTATTATTACTTCTTGAAAAGAATGGATTTTATAGACTTCCATGGATTGACCTGGAAGTCCAAGTGCTGTTTATAAAATATTCCAAAGAAGAAACTATATTTAGAATTAACAGCAGTCAACTTAGTATAAACCTTTGAATTCAGTCAACTTTATATTTGAATACAATCAGTTTATAAATTAGAAACTATCAATATAGTGTACTTCCATTATAAACACGGGAAGGGAGAAGACATCTGGTAAATTCTGGTTGTCTGCCAGTTATGAGGATTACCAGTGATCAAATATAAAGAATATCATATATACTTTATATAATTGGATCCCTCTCGAAGGTAAGGGCACCCGAGGGTCACCATCTGGGACAGCAGTTATCCTAGCAATGCAGCTAATGGAGATTGGACTGAACCTTGACTCACTAGTTTGCTCACAAAATACTAAGTATATGAAAAAAATACATTCTTAAAATATATATTATTTGTAATGTTTGGTTCAAGAGCTCAGCATATTTCATCCTGAGTGCAGCTCAGGATTGACAACAGTGGAAGTTAGAATTAAGCATGCATATAATGTGGAAAATGTCTTTGAGTGCAGTTTCCACTTGAGAACTTAGCCCTCGTGTGACGCTCTTGACATCCTTACCTGAAGCTTGGCTCTGTCCGTGTGTCTCTGCCCCCAGGAGCCCGGGAAGCGCTCCCAGCTGTGGAGGATGACCGGCACGGGCATGTTGGCCCACGAGGGATCTTCGGTGCCTCACAACCCCAATAAGCCCTCTGCGGCCCGCTCCCCGGAGGGCTCCGTCATCTTGGATATCGCTGGTCTCGCTGCAGTAACTGACAACAGGTACTTTTCTTTCTTTTCTTTTTTTTTTTTAATTTTTTTTTTTTTTAAGATTTTATTTATTTGCGAGAGAGAATGAGAGACAGAGAGCATGAGAGGGAGGAGGGTCAGAGGGAGAAGCAGACTCCCTGCTGAGCAGGGAGCCCGATGCGGGACTCGATCCTGGGACTCCAGGATCATGACCTGAGCCGAAGGCAGATGCTTAACCAACTGAGCCACCCAGGAGCCCCCAACAGGTACTTTTCTAAGCAACTTTTGATGCAAGCCCATTGCTTCCAAAGTCCGTTTCAGTGGAGATACACTCCAAAAAGCGAGCATGTAAATGAAGTAAGAATTTGTATTTTTAGATGTGTATTTTTCTTCAGTGAGAGACCGACCCGTCACATTCCCAAATACGAGTTTTGGGTCTTTATTTTATTTTTGTTAGGCTGTTGTTGAAATGCCCATGTAGGTCAAACAGTAAGAAGGATATGTTATGCAAAAGTGAATTATCTCTTTCCACCAAACCTCTACCCTCCATTCTTCCCTAGAAATGAGCAGGTTTTTAAAAATCTTTTTAAGAATTCTTGTTAAATATTTCAAAAGCAGAAATAAATTATTGAGAGAATAATCAAATGTGTTTTTAGGACCAAATCCTTGGATTTGAATCTGTTATTGGGGACAAAATAAGTTATTTGGTTTGCCTCTGCCTTAGTTTCTTTATGCGTCAGTGTGTTTGTTTCCAGTTGATACCTTATTCACTTCCATAAGTACTTTACATGACTTACAAGTGAAAACCCAATATAAAATAAAAATAATTGGGAATTAAATAGGAAAAATCCTCTTGAAAATATTTTCAGAGCTGTTTAGCAGACAACCCTTATCAAACTGCATGACAGCTTGTCACTGTGGGAATGCAGGGACCTGATTATCACATCTATTGTGAATCCTTAAAAGTACTGGTACTCCTTTGTGGCCCCTTGTTCATTGCTTTCCATTTTGTCTTATTCCTCTTTCCTCCTTAAGAGATACCTCGCTGCCATGAGATGCAGGCTACCTGCCCATTAGGTTTTAAGGGTGGAGGATATTGGAAGAAAGAAGACCAAAACCACGATCCTGATACTCTCCTCATGCCTAACATATTTGACTCCGAAGACTCACTGCATTTTCCTGTATTCCAGATATGAGCCACTGATGCTGAGAAAGCCAGATCGCAGGCGAAGCACAACTCAGACATGGAGTTTCCGGGAAGGAAAACTGACCTGCGGCCTGCACGGGTTGGTTGTCCAGGTCAGTAGTGTTTGACACCCTCAGTTGCAGCAAGCAGTGGTTGAACCTTCTTTGAAGCAAAGTCTCAATTAAGATAAATACACTGCAAGGGGGAAATCATTACAGAGCAAATACGCATTATTTCATTATAGTCAGGAAGGTCAAGGAACTTTTGTTGTACATCTGTGTGTATTTACCGGGAAAATATTCTTGACGGTGATCTATGAGAAATGTATTGGGAATGGTTGCCCGTAAGTAATGGGATTTTTTTTCTTGGCTTATCTGGATTATTTTTCTTTGGTTATATAAATTACCTATGTGGGGTATTTGGGTGGCTCAGTCAGTTAAGCGTCTTCGGCTCAGGTCATGATCTCAGGGTCCTGGGATTGAGTCCCACAGCGGGCTCCCTGCTCAGCAGGGAGTCTGCTTCTCCCTCTCCCTCTGTCTTTCCCCACTTGTGCTTGTTCTCTCTCTCAAGTAAATGAAATCTTCAAAAAAAAAAAATCTTTAAAAAAAATTACCTATGTAATTTTTTTCTTTTTTTTTTTTTAAAAATTTTATTTATTTGAGAGAGAGAATGAGAGACAGCACGAGAGGGAAGCGGGTCAGAGGGAGAAGCAGACCCCCCGCTGAGCAGGGAGCCCGATGTGGGACTCGATCCCGGGACTCCAGGATCATGACCCGAGCCGAAGGCAGTCGCCTAACCAACTGAGCCACCCAGGCACCCCACCTATGTAATTTTTAAAAGAAAGAAAGAGAAATGCTAGCTAAAAGCCCACCACTAAGTTAAGTGGATTAATTTTAGGCCTGTGGAATTAATCTAATATCTACAACAGTCTTCTGTGAAGCGTTCTAGGAGATGGTGAGCAGTCATCATGGGCTCTACATTCTCTAGATTCTATTTATTTCTGCATTCTTAGTGGTGCCCAAATAAGCATTTAATTATTGTAGCAAATGTCAGAATGAAGATTGCTGGTCAGTTTCCTCTGTCCTCCACCAGTCTATCCCATGATAAATTGCCAGGGACTTCATAAGAAAACACGTGTTTAGAAAATGACTAGGAGTTTGGATTTTCTGCCCTTCTGGCTTCAGGCCAGAAATGAGACCATGGATATGGGATGAGGAGGTAGGAAGTTGTCACAGAGGTTTGGGCATATAGCTGAACATGTGTGACGTGGTGCAGTTTCTGCCTCAGCCCAGGGCTTTACCCAAAAGGTAAACAGGAGAGCATCAGGCCCTGGCTAGAGGACCCTTAGTGTGTTTGCTCCTGGTGGACACCAGGCTGTCCCTTCACAGTGGGAGGTTGTTCACCCGGGCAATGAGCAAAATTGGAAGGAGCCTCCGCCTGCTGTTTGGTGAGATTTATTTTCTTTATCTCTCTTGTCTTGAGCTTTTTCTGTCAAACACAAGCTGCTTACTACTCTGAAGCACACATCTGGAATGGATTTGTAATTTTCAATTAGCAATACAATTCAGGCTTCTGGAGGCAAGAGAAGGTGCGTTGTAATTGTTGGGCCCCGGGTCTGACCCGGACTTTCCTTCCGGTTTGTTCCTAAAGCCCATGTAATTCGGATTTTCGTAGAGCAGCACCCCCACCCCCATCCTTTGCTGGTGTTTGTTGTTTCTTGAATCTTTTTCATCATTCCTGTGGTTGTGAGCAGGGTGTGTTTTGGTTAGGGAAATAAGCTTGTTTCGATCTTATTATTCTAAATAAAGTAATTGAAGGCATTAAACATCTGACACTGCCCTGATAAGGTTGTGTATGCACTTTCTTTCCAAACTTACAACAGTCGTAAAAAGCTTTCTCCGTGTTGAAATCTGTCCTGTAAACCCAGCTCAGAGTTTCCTTTTCATTACTCAGTATTTGAAAAGAAAGGGGATCAAGACATGCTAGCCATTATCTTCTCTAGCCCTGTATCTGCTGTCCCATAGGCATGGTCCCATAGACTTCCGTTTTGTTTGGGGCGGATAGCAAGAAGATACTTTCCTCCAAAGGTCTGAATAGCTGGCTCTCAGATGGCATTCACCGTTCCCTGTTTAATTTTTTTTTTTTTTTTACATTTTATTTATTTATTTGACAGAGAGACAGCAAGAGCAGGGAACACAAGCAGGGGGAGTGGGAGAGGGAGAAGCAGGCTTCCTGCCAAGCAGGGAGCCCGATGTGGGACTCAATCCCAGGACCCTGGGATTATCACCTGAGCCGAAGGCAGACGCTTAATGACTGAGCCACCCAAGCGCCCCAGTTCCCTGTTTAATTTTAGAAGAGGCACCATCTTTTGAATATGTGAGCTGACAGTCCAGCCGTAGGCCTGTTTGCAGAGGTTTTCAACTCTAGAATTTGCTTCTTATTGGAAAGCTGAATGATAGTTGTAATTGCTACATTTTCAGAATGTTTTAGATTTTTAAACAAACCTGAATGAGAATACTCAGAGAAACAGGGTTTTGGTACTTTTTTTAAAGCTTATTTTAATGACTGGAAGTTATTACTAAACCAATATGCTCTATTCTTACTCAGAATTCCCTAAATTCATATAGCGTAACTTTCCATCTTGCCCAGGTAATCCTCCTGGTTTTCACCTTCAGTAAAGCTGAAGAAATAGTAAATGCTTTGTTAAAAATTGATCATGACCCTTCAGAAGAGAATTCAAATTTGATAACTTGTTTCAAATGACATGTTACATTGTCAAAGTGGGTGCCTTTCCCTTTTCTTACACATCTTTATTCTTTTAGGCCAAAGGAGGGCTTTCTGGTTTGTTTGATGGAGCTGAAGTTGTTCTTGGTCCTGATACTTCCATGGAGCTTCTGGGGCCAGTTCCACCTGAACAACAGTTTATCAACCAAAAACTGAGGCCTGGTTCTGGAATGTTATCCATCAGAGTCATCCCAGACGGACCAACTAGAGCACTCCAGGTGATGATTTATCATAAGAACTAACATGAATCTCACTGTACTTTCCCCCCACACATTGGTTAGTCATTCCACAAATATTTATTGAAAACATTTATGCTGGCTATGAGGATATGATGTCCTCATTTATAAAATAGGGATAAGACCTACTTCACAAAGTTGTTATAAGAATTGAAGTATAAAAACATAAGATGATATTTAAAAAGTATAAGAATTAAAGAAGGCAATGCCAAGAATGGTACATATTATTATTATCGGTCATTATATATTATAATTGATATATTAACAACAAGATACATGAGGTCCCTGGTCAGACAATGACAGTATTGTGTTTTGAAAGCAGGAGTGGAGGGTGTTCTACAGGGTATACAGGAAGGATTCGTATTCCTAGACTTGGAGGCTTCCTAAGAGGAGTAATATTTAAGCTGAGACCTAAAGGTTGACTGAAAGGAGTTAGCCAAATCGAAAAGGGAAGGTGGAGGGGCTGTGCCCTAATAAGAAGAGTGTTCATTCAACAGTTATTTACTGAACACGTATTAGAGCCAAGCGCAATTCTTGGTACTAAGCACGTACTACTGAACAAACAGACAAAATTCCCTGCAGTCTTGGAACTCATATTCTGGAGGGGTAAACAAACAATAAGCAAAATCATAATAAAGAAATAATATAGGATTTGGGAAATTGATAAGTGAAGGCCTGGTGATAAAAGGGGAATGGCCCAGTGGGCACAGAGAGTACGCTCCGAGATAATGCTGGAGACAGAAGCAGGGGCCAGATTATTAAAAGCCTGATGCATGCTGCAAATTTTGTGGTTTTTCTCTGGCAATGAAGAGTCAGGGAATGACATGATCAGAAATTTATTTTAGATTGCACATTTCTGTCTGCAATGTGGAGGATTGGAGTTGATGAAAATTGGAGATAGATCAGCTGAGGGCAACTGCAGTGATCTGGATGAGAAATTATGGCAGCCTGGACTAGAGTAAATAGCAGGGGTGTGGCAGGGGTGGGCCCAAAGAGGTTGGAGAGAAACAGGCAGAAATGGAAGCTTATTGAGAAGTAGAGTCTGACAGATTTAGTGATTGATTGAAGATGAGGATGAGAGAGAGGAAGGAGTCAGGAATGGCTTTTAGGATTCTGATTTGGGCAACTATGAGGACAATAATCCATGTCACTAAGATATGAACACAGAGCAGACTTCTGGAAGAAATAAGGAGTTAAGTTTTGGACTTATATGCTATCTACATGAAAATGTCTGGAAGTCAGTGTAAATATGGGTCTGGTACTCAGGGGAGAGATCTGTGCTGGAGGTACACGTTTATCAGGTCATGGTGTAATTAGAGAGCTGAGGGAAAAAGGAAAGATGCTGGTGTGTAACAGTGAACTCTCCGAGGTAGTATGTCATAATCCACAATACCTCTTGTAAAAGCACCCTTCTTTTAGCAAACATTGAATGCAGTGATCTTGAGGTTTGTATATTTTGACTTGACCAATAATTCTAGATTAGCTGTAGATGCCTAGCCCCCCTATATGAGGCTCTCGAGGTCTATAACTTGGCTTTTGCCATGTAGACTTAAAACCAAGTTTACTTCATTATTACCCAAGTCTTACTTGGCAGCGCTTTTGAAACCATTAACTTCCATAGGATTATTGAGCATGAAATGGGTTTCACTGTGGAAGTATGAACTTTCTTAGTACAGTGTTTTATTCGACTTCAGATAACAGATTTCTCCCAACGGAAAAGTGACCGTTCATCATATGAAGTGGATGAACTTCCTGTTACTGAACAAGAGGTACAGAAATTAAAGAATCCAGACACAGAGCAGGAATTGGAAGTAAGTTTTAAGTATTGCGAATTCATTTCTTTATCATTAATTTTTTAGAATTTTGCTCTATGGTTTTCTCAGTTTTAGACCTCTTTCTGCCCTCTGAATTCCAAATATAGCTGTTGCTTCATGGTGTTTATGTCATCACAACATGAATGTGTGAATATGTTAATTAAATGACAGCTAAAGTTGAATCAGAATGTAATAATGATTGCAAAAGTAAGATGAAAATAAAGAAAAACTAAACTATTTGAATTTATACAAGGTCAAGAATAAACAAACTAGATTTTTTGAGGGTCCCCAGTTTTCTCTTGTCATCTTTCTCCTTCTTTCCCTTGTTTGGGCGTTGGGAAGTGAAAAGTTTGAAAAGGAACATGAGGTAAACATGAAAATGTACACTGGGGCGCCTGGGTGGCTTAGTCCGTTAAGCGTCTGCCTTCAGCTCAGGTCATGATCCCAGGGTCCTGGGATCGAGCCCGGCATCAGGCTCTCTGCTCAGTGGAGAGCCTACTTCTCTCTCTCCCTCTGCTGCTCCCCCTGCTTGTGCTTGCTCTCTCTCTGTCAAATAAATAAAATCTTAAAAAAAAAAAAAAAAGAAGAAGATGTACACTTATTGGATATTCAGTGATTTTTTTATGTTTATTTTTTTAAATTTTATTTTTTTATGTTAGTCACCATATAGTACATCATTAGTTTTTGATATAGTGATCCATGATTCATTGTTTTCGTATAGCACCCAGTGCTCCATGCAATACGTGCCCTCCTTAATACCCATCACAGGGCTAACCCATCCCTCCACCCCCTCCCCTCTAAAACCCTCAGTTTATTTCTCAGAGTCCGTAGTCTCTCATGGTTCATCTCCCCCTCCGATTTCCCCCCCTTCATTTTTCCCTTCCTTCTCCTAATGTCCTCCATTCTGTTCCTTATGTTCCACAAATAAGTGAAACCATATGATAATTGACTTTCTCTGCTTGACTTATTTCACTTAGCATAATCTCCTCCAGTCCCATCCATGTTGATGTAAAAGTTGGGTATTCATCCTTTCTGATGGCTGAGTAATATTCCATTGTATATATGGACCACATCTTCTTTATCCATTCGTCTGTTGAAGGGCATCTCGGCTCTTTCCACAGTTTGGCTATTGTGGACATTGCTGCTATGAACATTGGGGTGCATATGGCCCTTCTTTTCACTACATCTGTGTCTTTGGGGTAAATACCCAGAAGTGCAATTGCTGGGTCATAAGGTAGCTCTATTTTTAATTTTTTGAGGCACCTCCACACTGTTTTCCAAAGTAGCTGTACCAATTTGCATTCCCACCAACAGTGTAAGAGGGTTCCCCTTTATCCACAGCCTCTCCAACATTTGTTGTTTCTTGCCCTGTCAATTTTTGCCATTCTAACTGGTGTAAGGTGGTATCTCAATGTGGTTTTGATTTGAATTTCCCTGATGGCTAATGATGATGAACATTTTTTCATGTGTTAGCCGTTTGTATGTCTTCTTTTGAGAAGTGTCTGTTCATGTCTTCTGCCCATTTTTTGACTTGATTATTTGTTTTTTGAGTGTTGAGTTTGAGAAGTTCTTTATAGATCTTGGATATCAGCCCTTTATCTGTAGTGTCATTTGTAAATATCTTCTCCCATTCCATTCAGTGATTTTAAAAAAATTAAGGACCTACATGTAAAGCACCATGACGGATATTATGGAAGTCCAGTGAATAGCTTACTAAAAGCTTGCATCCCAAATAGGGAGAAAGATTCTCAAACAATTATTTTCCTATAATGAAATGCAGAATGTCCTCAGTCTCTGAGAAGAGGTATTATCATATCATATCACTTTGGAGTTCTGGATGGAGTAGGCACTGTCCCCAGAGAGAAAGGCTCCTAGTGAGAGGCTGGAGTTGGGTTTTTACCTGCTCAGAGGTAAAGTAGAGGGATTTAAAGCCATTTGTTTCCTTGCACTCTCCTGGCTACCTTGACCTCTGTTTTAAACTGTGTTGTATTTTGGTTTCCTTTCAGGTGCTTGTGAAGTTAGAAGGTGGAATTGGGTTGTCCTTAATTAATAAAGTCCCAGAAGAACTGGTCTTTGCAAGTCTTACAGGAATCAATGTGCATTATACGCAGTTGGCAACAAGTCATATGCTTGAGCTCAGCATACAGGATGTGCAGGTAATGGGGGTAGTTCAGAACTTGTTAAATCTCCCTGTGTTCTTGCTGAGCACCCAACCAGATCCAGTGTTTGGTGTCCTAAAAACATTAATGCTTTGGCAGAGATATCTTGTTATGGCCTTCAAAAAATTATTCTATGAAAATAATTGTTGCTGTCTGTGTTTGTCTCACCAATTTTTCTATATAGTAGCCAGTTCATCAGTAACTTAGATAATTTAGTCAAAGTGGCAGGGAAGAAAGTGGGCCATGGTTCACCATTTGCCCATAGGAAAAAATAACAGGAAATCATTTAACCATCGTTAGAAAAATTGGAGTTCATTATAGGGAGAAAAAATAAGGGAACCGGATTTGTGCTTCTGGCCAAGAGGTACTAACAGGGACCAGATTTACTCTCCTACCTGAAGCAGCCCCCAAGTCCAGATAAAATAAGGAGACAACAGGTTCAAGGCACTGTAAATCGGACATTGAAAGACCGTAACCCTTGAGAGGTGGGAAACAAAAGAGCTAAGCCCTGCATTCACCTCAGCTTCCTGCCTTGAGAAAGCTTCCAGGCCATGGCACTGGGAGGGGAGACTAAGACAGAGCCCAGCAGAGTGAATGAGTTGAACAGGCCGGGCGAAGAGTCTGGGGACCAAGGCATCTAGAGTTTCACAGGGCAGCATACCTGGGAGGAGCATGCTACATAGAAAGAAGACTCAGGAGATCTACAGAGGGGCATTCAGCAGAGGACAGATCAGTGATGCATGTAAGGAAACTACCATCTGAACCATCCAAAAGAATTTCACAGGGACAGTATCTGCTGCACACCCAGGGCTGGGAATGGGGTTTGTTCCCCGAGCCAGACTAGAAACACTAATAACATATGTGACATTGGGAAGAGTCCTCCAGAAAATCTTGCCTTCGTGGTGAACTGTAATTAGCCCTCGGCTGAGCACTGTTCTAGACCTACCTAACAAATCATAAAAGGAAAGTCTGAAAGGATCAATGTGTTTCCAAGTAATTTAACTGTATCCCCGAACAAAGCTCAAGATTTAATGGTATACAAAAATACCCAGCACCCAACAAAGTAAAATTCACAATATCTGGCATCCTGTCAAAAATTACCAGGTGTGCAAAGGGGCAGGAAAACACAATATATAATGAGAATAATCAGTCGAACGGACCCAGAGCTAACACAGATGTTAGGATTTTCAGAGAAGGACATTAAAACTGTTATTATAACTGCATTGTACATGTTCCAAAAGTTAAGTAGAGACATAGAAGATGTGAGAAACCCAAACTTCTAGAGATTAAAATGAAATGAGAAACACGCTGCATTCAATTAATAGCAGATGACACAGTACAGAAAAAAGATTAGTGAACTTGAAGACATAGCAATGAAAACTGTCCAAATTGAAATTCCCAGAAGAAAATAATCCATAAAAAGAAAACAGCATCAGTGACCTATGGGACACCCTCAAGCAACCTAACACATGGATAATTGGAGTCCCCGAAGGCCAAGAGTGAGAGGAAGACATAGAAAATATTTGAAGACATCTTGACCATACATTTTCCAAATTTAATGAAAACTTAACCTCACAGATAGAAGCTCAAGCATGAACAGAGACACGTGTGTGTGTGTGCACACACGAAGGAAACTACCACCAAGGTACATCATAATTAAATTACTCAAAAGCAGTGATGAATCATCCAGGTTAAGCAAGACCTGTCACATGCCAGGAGCAAAAGTGAGAATGAGAGCTGACTTCTCATTGGGAATGATGTGAGTGAGAAGATAATAATGTCTTTAAAGTACTGGAAGGAGGAATAACTGTCAACCTAGAATTCTATGCCCAGAGAATATATCTCTCAAAAACAAGAGTGGATCACCTCCGCCTGGTTCTTGGCAGGGATGCTGTGGCTGAGCCATGGGCTGAGGCAGCTTGTGTCCGGACGTGGGGCCGGAGCTTCCGCCCAGCCCCCTTTAGGCACCGAGATGCCCAAGAAAGCTGGTGTGACGAACAAGGGTAAGAACCAGAGCAGGGAGCCAGAGAGACCACTTCCTCCCTTAGGTCCTATGGCGGTTGATCCTAAAGGTTGTGTCACCATAGCCATCCATGCCAAACCTGGGTCCAAACAAAACGCTATAACTCATGTGACAGCGGAATTGTGAGCATGGCCATCACAGTCTCCCCCATCCCCACCCCTGTCAGAAGGAGAAGCTAATATCCAGCTCTGTTGGTACCTTTCCAAGGTCTTGGAGCTCAGGAAGAGTGATGTGGTTTTGGATAAGGGTGGTAAATCTCATGAAGAAGTGGTGAAGCTTTTGGCCTCCACAACTGCAGAAGAGATCTTGGAGAAATTAAAGCAGCAAGTCGAAAACAAAATAAAAGCAAGTTATGAGAAATACATCCTTGAGAAGCCTTTTAACTGCTATTAATGAAGAGGCTGTTAAATAGGGAAATATATTTCAGAGCATGGAAGAATTTGGAAAAAGAATGAATTTAAGAACAGGACTCAAAAAAGAAGTAGGAATTTTAAAAGTACTCTACGTTCAATATAGATTCTAACATCCCTAACCCAAACAGCTTGTAATATGTTAGTCCGATTTCATCACATTTACAAAATAACAGAACTGGAAGAGATCTTCAAGATGACCTCAGTCAGCCCCTTTGATCCTGTGACAGGGCTTCTGCTACCCAGGAGTTGAGAGACTTATTCAGGATCACACCGTGTGGGGTGGCGGCTGGAACCCAGATCCCTTGACTCCTGTTTGGATGCATCTTATCCTGATTGTAAAGGAAGAGATTTCCACAGATTCTAGGGTTCTGAGGATTGCCTTCTCTAGAGTTTATAAGTGACAGAAGAAAACCTGTCATACTGCTTTGTGGTCTTACTTTATATTTTAAAAGACTTATCTAAATAAAAAATGCCTTTTGTGTCTTTTTAAAACTCTATGGAGCATTTTGTGAAAAAGAAAATAAGAAGAATCAGGACTTGTAATTTCATGTTAATTATTTTGGGGAAGTCACTGAATTTTCGTCCTCCTTGGATGGTAACTGCAGTCCTCAAATCTGTAGTTCTTATGAATCTCCGAAGATCCTTAGAAGAAGAGGGCCTGGAAGCTACTTCCAGTATTTTTAAAAGCCTATCAGAAATCATATCTACATTAAAGCTTCAAAAGCTAATAAAAAAAAAGTGAAATAAAAATGTTTTTAGACATACAAAAGCTAGAAGAACTCATTACCAGCAGATTCACGCTTAAAAAATGTTAAATGACATCATTCAGGCAGAAGGAAATGGTAGCAGATGGAAATCTGGGTCTACACAAAGGAATGAGGAGCACCTGAAATGATAAATACACAAGTAATTAATATAAGCTTATTTTCTAATTATTTAGATCTCTTTAAGAGAATCAGCTGCTTAAACAAAACTAATAGCACTGTATTTTAGGGTCTATAATATGTTAGAGTAAAGTGAATGACAACTATAGCATAAAGTTTGGAGAGGAGAAATGAAAGTATGTTAACTATTGAAGTAGTATGCTGTCATTTGAACGTACACTGGTAAGTTAAAGATGAATACTATAAACTCTAAAGCAACAAAGAGCTACAACTAATAATCCAACAAAAGAGAGAAGATGGAAGAGAGAAGATGGATAACCCAAGAGAAAGCAGAAAAAGCAGAAAACATGGGAAAGAACAGATGAGACAAATAGAAAACAAATAGCAAGATGGTAGACTCATTCAAACCGAACTGTATCAATTAAATAAATGTGAATGCTATAAACACCTCCAGTTGAAAGGCAGAGATGATGAGATTGGATTAAAAAGCAAGATCCAATTATATGCTGCCTCAAAGGAATACATTAAATATAAAGACACAGTAGGTTAAAAAGAAAAGAGTGGAAAAAGATATACTGAGCTAGAACTAGTTCTAAGAAAGTGGGAACAGCTAGATTCCTGTCAGAATCTATTACAGAGCTAAACATATTATCAGAAATAAGGTAATTTCCTAATGGTAAAAGGGACAGTTTATGAGGAGGACATAACGATCCCAACTATTCAAATATCTGATCATAGGGCTTTGAAATATAGGAAGCAAAAACTGATAGCACTGAAAGAAGAAATGGACAAGTACACAATTATAGTAGATTTCATTACCCTCTCTGAATAATTGCTAGAATTATCAAATAAGAGCAACTCATCAGAGGCATGCTAGACTTGAACAGCACTACCAACCAAGTAGCCTAATTGACGTTGATCCAGCAGCCCACCTACCAACAGCATAAATAACACGTTCTTCTCAGGTGCGCAGGAAACATTTCCAAGAGAGACCACATTCTGGACCATAAAACAATTCCCAAGTGCAAAAAGATTCAGGTCACACACACAGTCTATTCTCTGATCACAATGGAATCAAAGTGGAAATAACGGAAAGATAGTTGGAAAAATCCTCCAAATGATTGGAAACTAAAAAACACACTTCTGAATAGCCCAGAGATCAGAGAAGAAATCAAAATACAAATTAGAAAATATTTTGAACTGAATGAAGATGAGAACACAACATGTCAAAATTGGTGGAACACCACTGACGCTCTACTGAAGGGAGATTTATAGCACTATTAGAGGAGGAGAAAGGTCTAGAAACCGTGAACTCAGGTGTCCTCTTAAGAAACTAAACAACAACAAATTAAGCCCAAAATCGATGAAGTAGAAACCAGCAACCACAGTAAAATAAATAAATTAATTAATAAGGTCAAAAGCTGGTTCTTTGAGAAGATCAGTAAAACTAGCAAACTTCTAAGGAGTCTGATCAGGAGGAAAAAAAAAAGAGAAGATACAAATTACTAATACCAAGAAAGGGAGAGGTGCCAGACAAGCCCAAAACTTGATAGTTCTCTGGGGATGGAGCTTTGAGGGGAGCTGTAAGCTTGTCCCAGCCCCCCACTGGCTGCCCGGGTGTGGGGCTGTTGGTTTCCGAGGCCACCGCGGACCTGGGGAGGGCGAGGGAAGGATCCGTGGGAACGCCACATAGCTGGCTGTTCTTGTTGAGTTTCAGCTAACTTTCTCCAATAAATGATCCCTGGATTGTTGCAAGCCTTTGGTGAACTGTCGGAGTTTTGAAAAGGTTGATTTTGACAGTTTCTGCTCGAGTTTTGTCTTCACGCTGTCAAGACAGCTGTTCTCTTTGTAGCATCATGCTTGCAGCCCTTCTCTCCAGCCTCCCCCAGGATTACCGTGTCCAGGAAACCAGTTCCTGGTAAACATTTCCAGAAGAAGGATCCAAAGACCTAGACCTTGGTTCTTTCCCCAGGTGGGCAGCCTGTGTTCCTCTTGCCGGTGTGCAGTGCGTGCCCATAACCGAGTGTCCTTCTGCTCCCGCTCACACCATGTACTTCCATCCACCTGAAACCCCCTTTCAGAAAAATGTTTTTATCCTATATCACAGAGAGACAATAGTTCAGGCTAATCACATCCCATTTGTTTGCGGACAGTTAAAAAGTTATTATCTTGTACTTCTATTTGTTTGTCTTTCTTTTTTTACCTTACAGAGACGATCCAAGGAGCCATTTGTGCTTCATGAATTACATTAACTTTTTAATCAAAAAAAAATTTTTTACAATAATACCTCTTTAATGTGTGCTGTAAATCATAGAAAATAAACAGGTTTGAGAGCTGGGAGAAAGAATGTTTAAAAATAGAAAATGCGGTCCCCATCCTTAGGGGATCCTAATCTAATTGGGAGAATAACACTAGAATTTGTACCTCTTCTACATCTTGTATCAAGTGTGTTTGGGGAAAGAATAAAGGAGAGGTCAGAGTAAGGTGAGAACTTCTGTGTTTTCTCTGTTGGATATGACGGGTGATTCATTCACTCAGTCAATTCCTAGAGCATCAGCGGTGTGCCGGGCATGGCACTAGGCTCTGGAGAAACAGCCATGACTCAGAAGATGAGTTCCGCTCCCTTTGGGCTAACAGCCTAGGGGAGAAGCCAGCCAATAGGGGAGCAAGCAAGTGAGGAAAATGATTAGCACCTGTGGGAATTGCTCTAAAGAATACAGAAGGATGGTGCTACTTCTGAGATGAAGTGGCCTGGGAAGATCTTCCTGAGGAGGGGAGAGCTAACCTTGGAGGAAGGGAATGAGCGAGCCATGGAGAAGGCTAGTAAGGTAAAACGCATTCCCTCAGAATCCGGAGACTCTGAGAGAGGAGAGTTGCCCCCTTTGGAGAAATAAGCGACAGGCTTGTGTGGGGGGGTTGGAGCGAACCTGGAGGGGAGGGCTGTGTGGTGCAGGCCGTGGAGGCTGTGGCGAGAAGTTTGGTTTCATCCCAGGAGAAAGGGAAGCCACTGACAGGTGTAAAGGAAGGAGGGACATGACTTGATTTGTATTTTTGAAAGATCACTTTGGCTGCTGTGCAGGGAGCACACGGTAGGGGCAAGGGTGGGAGTAGGGAAAAGGGCTCACAGTCTCTCGCCCTTATCTCTGCAACTTGAGATCCGACAGGTTACCCAAATGGCTGTGCGGCAGTCCGCATGATACAGTGGAAGGGTCACGGGATTTGGTGCCAGAAATGCCTGCATTGGAATCCCTACTCTTCCGCCCTCACCAGCTGTGTGAATGTGGGCAAGTGATTTAACTTCTGTAAGCTTCTGTATACTTGTTTGTAGAATGGGGAGGAAGAATCTTAGCCTTTACGGTTGTAGTATGGGATATGTTAGGTGATGTGTGGAAAGTACACGAATGTTCTCTTTTCTCTTTCTGATACGGAGCTTTGATGGAAAACGAAGTGGAGGTGGCTGCTTCCTGCAGGGAGCCTTCTGACACCCGTAAACATAGCGGGGTGTAGAATGCATGCTCAGTTCCAGTGCTGATTGGTGTGGGTGAAGAGAGCAGTCCCTAAGGCCACTGACATCATCATTTTCATTCCTAGCACAGACTCCACTTTAGGAAAGGCCACTATTTCCATTTGGTAGCCAGTTGAGCCTCTGATTCCCTAGTTTTCATGGTCTAGTATCTGTTCACTTCATTCATAGCGGTTAGGAGCGCTGGGCTTGGGGTCAGACAGACCTGGAGTCAAGTTCTAGTTCTGTGATGGACCAGCTGTGCAACCTTAAGTAAGGGCCTCTCTCCTCAGCTTCTTGGTCTGTGCCGTGACGACGGGGATCATCCTCAGGAGGTTGTGGTAAGGACTACAGCGGAGCCCTGACTTTAGTAACTCTGACCTCACAGGTATCCTGTGACTCACGTCATGCACATGAGGAGACTAGCTTGGTGCTTGGCACGTAGTACTCACCACATAAAGGAGAGCTTCTGTTGTCAACCTACTACAGTTATTGCTGGTCTGCAGCGGGGATGTATTTTTCCAGCTGCTGTTGAGACAGAGTAAAATGGCAGGGGTACTTTCTGAGTGTCCTACCTATGATGAGACCCCGCTCAATGATAAAAGAGAGCTGAGAACTGAGCCGTTGTCCGTTCTTGTTTTGTTTTGCTGCTTTTTCCTGTGCCAGGTGGACAATCAGCTCATTGGTACCACGCAGCCCTTCATGCTCTATGTGACTCCCCTGAGCAATGAGAATGAGGTCATCGAGACCGGCCCAGCCATGCAGGTGAATGCGGTGAAGTTCCCCAGTAAGAGCGCGCTGACCAACATCTACAAGGTAGGCTGCTGGGAGAGGCTGGTGGGCTTGGCACGGTGGCAGGAGGCCGATTTGTTCTCTCACAGCCGAGGCTCCGAGCAGCAGTGCAGGGTGTGCGGCTGGAAGTCGTCCTGTGCAGTTAAGGCACTATGACAGACTCCATGGTGTAGGGGGATTTACAGCAACTCCTCCTAGCACCTTGTATTCTCAGCTGTGTCTTTGACAGCGCATGATGGTGTGGGGGACGAGTCTGTAGTCATCAGAGTAAAGTCTCTGGGAAAGCATAGCATCTTCCAGGTTGATCAGGACCAGGCGTGATCCAGATGTGTGTTTAAAATAGAATAATTAGAGAGTGGTAGGAGGGGTCTGACCTTGGGACAGACGTCCTCCTGTGTAAGCTGTCACACTGTTAGTAAAAGCATGTGATTCAAAAGTGATGAACTTCTACCCTGGAGAAGTTTCCACGTATAAGCAAGCTGATACAGCAGCAAATTCTGGAAAAGTGGGAGCTAAGAGGTTGCTTCCCATATTTCTGGCCTTTGTCACCATTACCAGTGGGGGCCAAGCTTGTATGTGGCCCTCAAATCCTGCGGCTCCTTAAACCAGCTGCTGTCCATGTGAGCTCAGCACCATAACGCTGTCCACCACAGCACAGCTGCAAGGAGACACAGATGCCCCAGGAACCAAACAATAGGGTGGTGAATTGTGTATTAAACCTCTTCTGGAATTTTTGGCTAATTGTAACAATGTAGAGAGAGATGAGCCAGAAAGCATTTGGCAGTGTCGTTACAAAATCACATGAGTAAAGAAACCGTGCCACGTCATTTTGGGACCTTCTTAATGGCCCAGATGAAAGTTCCTTCTGGTGTTTACACTATTAATCAGAATTTCTCTATCTCTAGCATCTGATGATCACGGCTCAGAGATTCACAGTGCAAATTGAGGAGAAACTGCTCCTCAAGCTGCTGAGTTTTTTTGGCTACGATCAAGCAGAATCAGGTACTGTTGAATATTCTAAATTTGTGTCTGGGAATTGACGCAAGAATGGCATTTTCTAGTCTGCTTGAGAAAATAGGTAGCCTCTGGGTGCCCGACAAGCTCCCTTTACACCTCACAGCCCAAGCCCAGAAGCTGAGGCTTGTGTCTCAGTGGCTTTTTTTCCAAGTACAGCCTGTTGATGGGCGGGGCGGGGAGGGGGCCTGATGTGGGCACGAAGGAAGCTTCTTAGAGGTATCCTGGGGTATCTGGGGTTAAGCCTTTGGGAAGGCATACTTTTCCTCTTTGTTGTGCATTTTTGACTCATCTGCTTGAGGATAACAGAAATGATGTTCGTCATTTAGCAAACCACTTTGTTTCCTAACCTTTGTTTAGTAAACAGACTCGGAGCCAAGAATCAGAAATCCAGCAGTTCCTTTGGTTTAGTTGAGGGGAAAAAAATTTGACTAGCCTTAACTTCTTAACTTTTTACATCCATGCCCTTATGCCTTAATATCATTAGCAAGTTTTCTAGTTACTTGACTCTTCTTGGAGAGGGGAGAGAAGCTATTGGAAACCCTGTGTGTTCTAGCAGTCACTACAGAAATCATGTAGCTTTTGTCTTTTTATTTGAGATTCCTCCTCATGGCCTTTGTAAGACTGAATATAGAGCTTAGAAAGAAGTCAGTAATGCTTAGTCTTTTGAAGACTAAACCAAATATCGAGCCTGAAGAAATGATAAGATGGACTTGTATGTTTATATGCCCACATTGGCTAGAGAAAAAAAAAATCACTAGGGACATGTGTGCATATGTATGTACTTACACACAATGCAAGAAAAATATTTTTGCTCTTTAACCCAGACTTAGGATTCAAACTTTAAGTATATTTGGGATCAAGAGCAAGATCCTGTCTGTTTAGAACTGTGTTTTCCACTTTGGGTTGGAAGACCAATGTTGGTTTGGATTCAGGCACTTGAGGGCCTGCCTGCCAGGTAGCCAGTCTCTTTTGGCACCTTCCTGGGACATTGTACTTTCCATTTTACTGGACATACTTTTCTTATAAGTTGCTCTAAATAAATTTCTCACCAAGCATTGTATAGACATTTGTAAAATCCTGGCCTGTGTTTTACTGGAGCATCTCCTCCACTTTCTCTGTTTCTGTTCCCTGAATACAAATGGGCAACAGAGGTTGCAGTGTCATTTTCTAAAACCTAGTCCCTTGTTTTCTATAAATAGAACCATAATAGCTTACAGCATACATTTGTTTGGTAGACAGATCTGTACAATCTCCTTGGTTGTATTTCTAAGGCACGTGAAGCCAAGTGAGAAATAAGCTGACCACATGGGTGTGGGCACAGGAGCAAGTCAAAGAGCCCATTGCCATGTGCCAGCCCATGTCACTCCTTCTCACTTCACGAGAAGTAAAAAAAAAAAAATATGCCTTGACTCTGCTGCTTTCACAAATGTCCACCATTTGGGAGAGAGGGTGCTTATTGTCATGACATCAGCTCTTTATAGCCTGCAGCCTGTTTCTTTTTAAAGGCATTCTGTTGCACTCAGATGCATTATTTAATTGGTCATGTTGTTCATTATGATTCAGTTAAGCTCTACTCCAAGGGATAATATTTGGATATCATCTTATGAAATAAATGCACATAATCGGGGTCACTTACGATAATCATAATACTAACAACACGGTTTCTGGAAGACTAATTGCCAGCAAACACACCCTTGACCTCTGGCTTCCCCACCTGCATGATTTTTTCCAAAGATGATGTCTCCCAGATGGTATAGAGTCACAAGTCAAATGATTAGGCTATTGTGCTTTTTGATAGACAACATGAAGCAGATCTCCTTTTATAAAGAAGTGGCATCAGGATACTGTATATATCACCAAACCCTGAAAAACTAAGTTTAGAGAGATATTTACATTTTTCTATGAATATTTTTCAATGTTAGCATTTGAATTGTGAGACTTCAGGAGACTCTTTTTTTTTTTTTTAATTCACTATTTCACTCTTGTACCAGAGGTGGAAAAATATGATGAAAACCTCCATGAAAAGACGGCTGAGCAAGGTGGAACACCAATTCGCTACTACTTTGAAAATCTCAAAATCAGCATTCCCCAGATCAAGCTGAGTGTGTTCACCTCCAACAAGCTACCATTGGATCTTAAGGTGAGCTGATACCTGGATAAGTTTTAAAAATGACTTTCCCTCAAAAAGAATGAATGTGTTTACTATTTGCTTTTTCTGTCCAGGATCATCATCTCTAGCAAATACTTTTACAGGTTTCCCTTTTTGAAAGTTTGACATATATACATATACATATACACACACATATATACATGTGTATATGCCCTTTTTTTATATTTAAGTAAGACTTTGCTAAAGATTGAGGAGTAATGAGAGTAAACAGAGAATTACATAAAACCCATCTGCCGTCTTCTTAGCTCTTGGCTTATCTCAATGAGGTAAGAGTCTACTTCCCTAGGGCCACTCCCAAATTCAGGAGAAAAGCTACAACCAAGACAGTACCTTCCCTTTTGTGCCCAAGACCTGCCTGCCCTCCTAGTTCTCTCCTCCTTAGTATCCACCTCTTCGTGAATGGTTGACACTAGAGATGTCACCCTCCTTCAAGGAACACACTCGGCCGCGAATCACTGAGGTGTGGCCTGACCTATCACCATTATCAGAATGTGACACTCCTGCCCATCATCCTGATCCACACTTGACAGATACAGCCTGAATTCCGTCTTCATTTGCTGCAGTGAGATCTATTTTAACGAAGGGATGGGGCTGGGGTTCAAATCCAAGCCTGTGTGACTGGAAAGTCTGCACTGTGCTATACTCTACCGTATACTGTCTGCCCCCTTGAACATACGGCATCAAGAGAATTTTAGAGCTGTAAGTGTCCTCGGTGATCCCCTTGCTCAGTGAACAAGGATGTTGGAGTTCAGAGCGTGCTTTCAGGCAGGCCTGCGTAGGGAGGCCATGATGGGAGCAGGAGGAGGCCCTAGCTGGTCGTTAGAAAGACTTTTCTTAGATTGAGTCTAAATCTGCCTCCCTGCAGCTCGGACCTTTGTTGCCCTTGAAGATCCTCGTCAAGGCCCTCATCCCCCCCACTAACCACCAGCCCAGGACGTGGCACTGCCCCCCGCACCCCAGCCTCCTTTTAGATGCTCCATGGTGGCCTCTCTTCTGAACAGGAGTAGCTACAGATTTGAACACACAAAGAATAAAGGTGGCATCATAAATTCAGCTGCCTACCAGGACTGTGCTAGCTCCGCACCACGTGAAGCCGTGCGGTGGGGACCACGGCATGGGGGGTGAGCGCCCTTCATCTGAAGGGGCAGCCTCGGCTCAGCTCCAGCCAGTTGCTCTCACAGGGCGATGTGAACCCAGTGTTGCCGGATCTTCAGATTTTTAAAGTGAAGCCAGAAATCTGGGTTTTTATGTGGAATCTCCTGGTTTTGAAATGTTGGCAATCAATTTGAGTTGTTTTCTTTAAAACCCTTTTGGGCCTGACAAAACACATGTGTGGGCCTCATGTGGTGCATGGTTTGCCAACTCACAACTTCTAAAATAGACCTATAGGTAATGAGACAGTAGTCTGGTCAACACCAGATCATACTTGGATAAGGACAGGGCAAGGGTGACTGCTTCATTTCGGTGTCAAGCTGGGGACGAGCAGTCAGGAGTGCTGGTCGGGACCAGAGGGGCAGGAATTGCTTTGCAGCCATCCTGAGAGCAGCATGGTGTGCCCTTTCCAATAGACTCTCCTGTCTGCTTGATTGGCTTTAATTTCATGTTTCCCAAGAGACAAAAGATACTTATAATTAGCATGGGAGTGGGGGGAAAACCATGGGAAAACCACTATCTTGCTAATATCCACAAGTATCCACTTGACTTATGTGACCCCTTGGAATGGGTTTGTTTGATAAAGTATATATTCCCCCAGAACACTTGGCACGCACCCAACAAACCAATGTTAAGCATTTCCTGAGAGTTAAGGACTTCTTGTTTTTTAAATCATCTTACTTAGAAACACAGACACCTAACTATTCCTTTTAAATTGCTCCCAGCAGAAAACTTTCCCCCAGACTGACAGATGCAATAGGATTTCCTACGGTTGAGGTAGCTCCAGACCCCCGGTTATATGGTACCAATGTGTGTGAGTATGCTGTGCATACGATACCCTGGCCATCCGTTAACCTGAATGTTTCATTTGGCACTGTACTGAAGGAACATTTTGAAGGCATTTTCAAATGATTGTTCAAGAAATCCAGTGGATCAGCCATGTAATGAGGTGTGGGGCGGGGGGCACCCTGAATGGGGCACATTAATGTTTCAAGCAGGGTGCTGGGAATTGGGACTTCAGAGTTAAATTCTCAGCTTGTGGAAGTCACCGTTTTACTGTGTCTCGAGTTCTCCTAGTGGAGTCTGGGACTCATAAAGTAATGTCATTTATTCAAAGAGTTTCCTAACAGAGTAATATCCCTTTATTAGTAGCTCTTAGGAAGAGCAATATGCTCTTTGAGATGAATATGTAATGGCTAAAAGTATGTGCTTAGGGAATGGAGTGCTATCCCAGAGCAGGAATCACAAGAGTCTGACTAAAAGGTAACCATGTCTTTGGTATTGAAGGAATAATTATCTCGATTCTCTCGACTCCAGGCCAGAAGTGAGGCTGTCAGAAATCTCAGAGGGAAGTCTCTTCAGGTTTACGCTGAGGGTACATTATTGCCAGATATAGTGTCTGTTCAGAAGGACTCAAAGCAGTTTCCCATCTGCTATCTCAATTGGATTCCTTCCTTCCTCTGTGATGGGAGAAGGGCGAGATAATAGTTCCATTTCACGAATGCAGAGACATTCCTCCCCTCCCCCCCTTTCTCTCTATTATTCTCCCCAGTGTGCACTACTAGAGAGTAGCAGGGTAAGGTCGAAAAACACCAGGTAGTTTATATGGACCTGGGTTTTTTTTTTTTTTAAAGATCAAAAGAAGCCAGGAGCCTTTAAAAGGTTTCACGAGGTGGCCTACAGCAGTCCTTTTCCCATTTAGAGCATTGGGGTATTACAAAAGAAGGGCTTTAATTGAGCAATCTAGTTTGGAAGAAAACCCACATTTTAATGGTCAGAGAGCAAGAGGGTGGGGGTGAGGGGGAATTTCAAACAAAGACACTATTTAAAAAGCCTAAAACTGTCTTCTCAAAGGCTTGAAATAATTTGTTGGGAAACTTCAGACCCTTTACTTTTTTCCTCCCCTCCCTAAATAAAAACCAGATTTGTTAAAAGGAAAAAAGATCCAGTATTGTTAATTGTATTTCAGAAAGTGCCAGAGAGGGAAATATCCCTGTAGTTTTAAACACTGTCCCGAGAGGGAAATGGGCAAATACCCTGCTTCACATAAACAGTTTCTATGTACCATAAATAAACCTTTAAAGAATGAATTCCAGACAGTTTTGTTTAGTGCAGGATAAACTAAGAAAGGAAAGGACGTGGCCCAGGGACTGGCTTGTGATCCGAGACCTTATGGCATATGGACAGGTATTTCTTCTTTCAACTCCATAAAGTTTCTGGAAGATTTCAGCGGTTTTTGTCTGAAGGAGGTAGGAATAGACAGTTTCCTAGTTTTATTAGGAACTTCTAAGCACAGATTGCTTTCTCCAGAATCCGTTTTATAACAGGAAACTGTCTGCTACTTGAGTAAATAAGCATCAACTTTGTATACTACTGTATTTGATTAGTCATTTAGTTACTACAGGAAAAAGCCCTGTTTGGCTCTTTCCCCTCTCATCTGTTTTCCTTTGACTGACCAGAACAACCTGAAGGTGGCAGAATAATTCATACCAAACGCTGGATCTCCGGTTTTTCAACCATGGGAGGCCCCAAAGCAGTAATGACGAGGTGAAGATAATGTTTACTGAAGGGCCAGAGTAGTTCCTTGGTTCAGACTAAAAGCGTTATGAGCCATTCAGAAAGGGGATAGTGTCTCTCGTGAGGGTTTTGACAACTTGGTAGAGGTTTCAGAGTCTCTGCTACTATGTATGGTTCCTCTTCTTTAGTATTTGGTTGCAATGAGGAAGTCGGGGTAAAAAAGCTTTTGCCTTAAGCCTTTGTTTGGATCTCATTTCCTCTTCTCTGAGAAGAAAGTAATGCTCACTCTGAGTTGTATTGGCAAAACGAACTGCTGACCTGGTGTCAGTACCTTCCCAGCATATTTACTGTGTGGCTCTAAGCAAAGCGGTTAAGCTGGCTGGGCCTCAGTTTCTCTATCAGCGCCTCATGGATGGGTGAAGCATACATGAATGAATAGCAGAAAGTTTCTCAGGAGAAACAATATAATCCTCCATTCTGGGCTTCATGCTTTCCACCTAATGGGTTAGCTGTTGTGAAAATGAGCACGTTCAAGTCTAAGATCTCCTAATAACTAACTGCACGAGTTTAGGTCATCCACTTAACATTTCTTTGGTTTTATTTATTTTTAACAAATGAATGTGTTCGGCTGAATTCGCATGTTAGGCTGAATTAACCTAAGAATGCTCTTAATCTCTAAAATGTTTTGTTCTCACGTTATTTAGTAGGAGGTTACTAGTGACTTCCCAGGGCCCCAGATGTAGGGGCCTTTTGTCTGTCCTCATCTCTGTAGGGTCCTCTGTCATATCCCTTGGCATTGCTGACCTCCCTGTTCCTTTCTGGTTCTCCTCTTATTCTTCTATTTGCTTCTTTGTCTTCTTCATAGTTTTCTTTTCCTCTGTTTCTCCTGACCCATCTATTTAAGGGCTTTTTTTTCCCTCGGTGAACCAAACTCTCTGGTCATATCACTTGCCCATTTAAAAAATCATATTATTGGTCTTTTATTGCCTGTAATTTTAGAAGCTCTTTATATAAAGTTTGGTCTTTGATATGAGTTGAAGGTTTTTTTCCTTCCATTTTTCAGTTGGCTTTTTATTTTTGATGTATGTGTGTTTTTTTTTAATCACATAAAAGCTTTTTATTTTTGTCATCAAATTTACCAGTCTTTTGCCTGTTTGAATCTGTATTTAAGTCCCAAAAAAGTTTCCCCATTCCCTGGCTTTAAAAAAATTCCATCTATATTTTCTTCCATTACATGATTTCATTTCAATTAAAGATGCTCTTATCCCAAAAGAATTTAAGGCAGCCTCTGAAAATACATGCTAAAAGAT